CACATGACAACATAAACAGCTGAGTATACCACAGGCAAATAAACCCCGATGAAATGGGATGGAATAACAATTTCATATTGAACATTTTAAAACAGAATGGTTGGACTTCATTAACGAAAAGGCCAAGCGCTCACAGAAGCCGGGAAAAGACGAGAGAAGTAGATCTCCCACGAGTCTCTCGCCATGGCAACCACCTTTTTCTTCACGTCCTCATGGTGAGTACCTGGAGCCTGATCCACCTGGTTTTCCACTGCAAGAAAAATGTAATTGTGGGATTGACTGCATATCACAAACCTTCCCCATGACCCTGGACAGGAGAAGCACTCTCGCAAATTGCTGGATGCAAGTACTGCATTTACATTCCACCTTATAGCTGGGTTGGTTTCCTTACCAAAGAGAGCTTTCATCTTTTGTCTTTCTTCTTGAGTGATTCGAATGCAGGCCTCCGAGAATGTGTCATGTACTACCTGCAGAAATACAATCAATAAAAATCCCTGCGGTTATTAGTTCCCTGCCTTGGAATAAAAAAAAAGAAAAAAAACATTTGCTCAACAGTGTAATCTACAGTATGTGTAGAACAAATAAAACAATGTTGAGTAAATGTACAATGCAATTGTACAATGAATACTTCAATCAACCTGTCTGAAGATTAGGTCCAACATTAGCGGATCATTGAGGTTCTCCTTCGGGTAAAACACCTGGAACATTAAATCACAAATATGACCAAATTAATAAAAGCCTGTTTTTGCTGATGGCCGTTTGAAATGCACATGCACCTCCTTCCTCAGGTAAAGTTTCCAGGGGACGTTGGTGTAGGTATAATATTCATCGCTGGTCCTGCTGTGGAGTTGAGTCTGGATGACCTCATTTTCAACTGGCAACTCTCTGCAGACTGGACAGACACACAAATCAGTCACAAACTTCTACGCAGTCATTTAATGTTCACAGAAATCCAAATCTCATGTGAAAAGCTCACCTGTAGGAGGAGCGTGGTCTACGTTGGAGTGAGTTGATTCATTAAGCTTGGTCATTTTGCGATCTCCTCCCTCCTCTTTATGATGCAAAGACTTCTTCCGAGTCTGAGAAGGAAAAAAAAAAAGGTCAGGCCGAATTTATATCAGTCTGTAACTCTGTATATGGTTGTGTGCGCGTGTGTAATGTACTGTTTGAGGTGGGCTGGCCATTTGGTCTTTCAGGATCTCCATGGCTTCATCATGGGGGTCTGGCTTCTTCATGAACACCTTTCCATTATCTTTTCTGAGCACATGTAACCAGATGTAATTGGGTTCTTTTGATCAATACAATCATGTGCACTTTATGTTTGTGTGTTACCGTTTGATGGAAAGTCCAGAGGGAGTCATGCTGGCAGGCTGGTGCTGTTTGATGATGTCTTTGATGTCATGGCTGGGCTCCGTGCGCTCAGTGTTACTCACACTGGCGCGGACCACAGCGTCTGGAGGCGGGCTGTGTGTTGGACCTGGAAATTAATTATTCAAATAAGAGCATTTGGTGACAATTTGTATGAATCATGGGTATGAAACTGGGTCTTGAATTGAGAGTGAATCTGATTCTGGAAAGATCTGAAAAATATGCTGCACAAAACAGGTGACACACTTACTCATTTTGCGCTGAGAGCTGGGCCTTGGCGGTGAATTGTCTCGATCTTCTTTCGTCTGCAGAGATCGAGAAGGCCACACAACTCGGAATGCGGTTGTCGAAAATGCACGCTTGCACAACAGCAAAGTCCATAGATTGCAGGCAGTTTGAGTGAGTGTCTGCTTACTGGACTGGGTGTGCGAGAATGTTGCGGCGAGTGTGGGTAATAATGTAGTGGTGGCGAATGAGAGGTGGGGAAAGAGGATATCATCTGTTGCTGGATTGCAATGGCCTGCATGGTCATCTGCTGGGCCTGCAGAACACACAGAGACAATCAGAGAGGTCAAAATATGGACCGAGTCTCGATAACAGCCAAGCAGCAGCATTTTTACCGAAGTGGAGATGGTCTCACGAAGAGTCAAAACCACAAATGATCATTTCTAATTCAGCATGGGATAAGCCGAAACGGGTTTCAGTTTTAATGCGTTCAAATGTGTACTGAGCATAATGAACGTTTCCATGATATTGTACCGTAAATAGTCACTGTACCAGAATAATGGCTTGCTGGTTGATAATGGCTTGCTGCTGTTGAGTCAGTGCTGCCTGCTCCGTTCCTGAAGGGCAATCACATGAAATACTTCAAGTTCCTGTACAAGGAAATAAACTGAGCACTGAAAAAAAAAAAAGCACTGCAAGCGTTAGCGCGCACCAAAGAACAGACTTGACATCACACCACTACTGTTTGACACAACTTACTTCATCATGCCCTCAGGCCACACATGCGAAGAGCACGCCATTATTGTACCTGACGCACCTTCCAAAACAGGCAAGCTTGGAATTACAGGCATGGGCGGAAGTGGGGGCAACCCCAAACCTGCAACACCGGTGCCATGTGATGCTACATCAGTAGCACTCAGAGGACTAGGGTGCGCAGAGGGGGGTGTAGAAGGGGCTTCGGATGGAGCGTGAGAGGAAGTCTGACTGGGGGTTACGTGTGCGGAGGTGGACGAAGTCGTTTGATGGGAAGGGTGATGGGGTCGGTTGTATTGGTGATATTGTCGTGGCTGCTGCTGCGGCTGCTGTTGGTGGTGTTCATGGTGATGGTGGTGAGAGGAGGTGGGCAAGGTAGGGATAGGTGGCATCATGCCTCCTGCTACTGGGAGCACCGGCACGGCTTGAGAAAGCAGCAAGGAACATGGAAGAGTTGGAAAATGTTTAAACTGAATAGGATTGGGATGGTTATATATCTTATGGCCATAACATAATATGCAACCACAGAAAGCTCACACATTTTTGGAGCATCAGAAAGGCCTCTTTCTCCAACACTCATTCAATACATTCTAAAAAATAGCCTGCTACAAACGCAACACATATGATATACCGTATATACAGTCACACAGTGATGATAAATATTCTTTATCTTTCATAACAAATGCATATTTTTTTCCCACATTGTCCGTTTGAATAATAGAAGAACTGCAAATAATTCACATGGGGAAAAATGTGGATAGAAAAACATCCATCTGAAATGAAAAGACACTTACACAAATACACATTCGCCTATCCGCACGTAGCTATTGAAAGACTGGCAAGCAAAGAACCGAGCGTTTAGCTTGAATAGGAATGAGAGTGAAGGAGATCAGGTGAGCCATGTGTGCTTACACTGAATACAGGTCAATGCATTAACCATGAGGAGGAACGCTGCCCATTACGGTCTCTAAACTTAAGCGAGTGTGCAGTTAAAACTTTGACAGGCTCGATTAAATATCACAAGAGCATTCGACCTTGAATAATGTCGGAATCAACAACCTTAAGCCAATTTGAATCTGAATTTCCCCAGTGGAGGGGAAAAAAAAGCCATTTTATTCCTAATGTTTACCTCCAGGATGTATTCCGGGTGGATGCGGCCTACTGGGGACCAGATGACTCTCCTCCTCTCCTCTTTCTCCTCCTGAGATGCCTATACCTCCGCCTCCCTTCATTCTTGCTGCCAAAGTTCCGGCCTTTTCCATGTCCTGGCAAACGGTGCGAATAAGAAGAGACCAGCACGGAGAGAAAAGAAGGAGGACACGTCAGGAGACATCAAGAATATACAAAAATGTCGATTTAGTGCTCAAGAGGGAACTTGACTCTACTACCAGGAGTTGGGAACGTAATACGCCCCTGGAAGTACCGTAAACACTGCAAGAGATGCTCCACCAAATATCAGACATCATTGCAACATGAATACTGTCCTGTGGTGTACACCTGATCGAAAATGAGCATATTGTATATCGCAAAGGCAGATTTCTTTCTACACCTTTTGTAATAAAGACAAAGTGAAGGGGAAATTTTGTTTTCATCTGAAATGCGCAGTATCTCCAACTAAATAAAATCTATGACACATGTATCGATTGTGCATTATCAACAAATTGTTCGACAGTACATTACACTAGGTGACACTGAAAGCTTTGGCTTTCTTGTTTAATTTATCGTAATTCTTAATAAAGGAAATTGGTGAGTGCTGGAAAACGTTGACCAACGTTTCTAGATAAAACGATGCGCCTACCGTGTTGCCGTCAGACAGAACGGGATCGAACAGGCTGTCCAGATAACGGTCCATTCCTCTCTGAGTCTGACCGTCACTGAATGCATCGGACTCCACTGCGCATCAAGCAGAAAGACACTCAGCTTCATTCCATTGCATTGAGGCGCAATCTCTGGCCAATTCATTAGGTACAACTGCGTGACTTGACTACTACGGCATTTTTCATGTTGCTGAATAAGGTGTAAAGTCTCCCAATGTGATGCGGTGATCTCCAATTCAACTCGGTCAATAAAGTAGTGAAAGATAAACGAGTGTGTGCACCGTGGCTGTGGTAACCGTCAGACTCAGAGAGGCTGTAGGCTGGTCTGCAGCCTCCGCTCGGAGGAAGGGAAGGCGGAGGTTCATCATCTGAATCAAAGCCGCTCCCAAATAGTGTTCTATAAGAAGAAAGAAGACATTTGCTTAGCGAAAACAAACAAACACACTAACAAACAAAAAAAACGTTGTCGATGATAATACTGTATTGGGGCGTGCATGGGGTGTTCCTAAGTGTACTGACAGGCTGGCATTGGCCCTGACTCTCGTGGGGTTGTCAGTACTGATGACGAAGTAGCTCTTCTGTTTTGGGAAGACATTTGGAAGCTCCAGGTCTGCAATCAGGTCCATCACGTAGTCGTGACCCGCTAATTCCACCCACTGGCCATGCTCCTTCATCAGGACTGAACTTCCTCTCCACCAGTCTGACACGCCCCTGCAAGATCCCCCACGCCCCCACCCCCACAATGCAAATTCTGTATTTTCCTCAAACAACCCACAGGGTTTTTGCATCTACTGGATTGACAACAATGGCTTTCATGAAAATGATCAACTTTGAATGAGCACCTGTGGTGCAGGATGTCTCCCGCTAAATCTTCGCCACTGGTCCAGGAGTGAACTGGGCACAGGAACGACGATCCTAATTAAAAAGAGGAATCACTTGGCCAGTTGGTGGCTTGAATCACAACTAGCAGTAGATTATTGTTAAATTGAATTTTACAACCGTTCCATCAATCAATGAAAATCATCATCAACTCCGCTGACGCTCTTCTTACCATCAAAACAATGCACATGTAACGCCATGTTAGCTTTCTTCCGATTGGTCGTCCACTCCAGCAGGGAGAGCGGATAGGTCCGTGAAGTCTCGGGAGCGGGGCCTGAACTCTGCTGCGTCTTCTGACTGGCTTGGATGAGTCGATGTTGCAGCAATGCTTGGCAACCAGTGGCAGCATGGTCAGAAACAAACCTAAAGGCGGTCGTTCCATATTGAACGCCATACAGGGTATGATTCATGGCAACTGAATTCATGTCGTCGGTCCTTTTACTTGAGCAGATATTTGTCCATCTGTGGCGAGGGAGCAAAGGTGCAGACACACGCCAGCAATAGAAGCCAGCCTCTCTCCGCATTGTCAGCGTTGACGTTGCGCCACACCTGGTTGACCACCTGAGACAAGATCTCATCTCGTAACCCTGGAGACGAGAGACCTCTTTGGATGATGTAATTGCCAAACATGTTCTCCTGCGCGCCATTCAGGTGAGGGTCTCCCATGAATCTTAACACCTGCAGAAGAATACATTAATGCAAAAAAAAATTACAATAATGCACAATTTGTGACACACTATTTTAGGGTGTTTTGTCACATTCGACATACAAACAATATTATGATTCCACTGACCATGTTGAAAAGCTGCAGAGCTTCGGCTTTCAGGTCCTCTTCGATGCAGGTTAGAGGGGCCTCCAGGGGTGTCTTCAACATCCCAAACTTGGGCTCCTACCACAAGAATACATTGACAGGGGGAGTGGAATTCCAAAGGGATATTACAGTATTTACAGGACTGAAGTGAGTTTGAAGATTATGTTGACAGATCTTACTCTGAAGTATCTGAGCACGTAACGATCGAAGGGGTAGTTGTTAATGTCCAGAGGCAGAGTGAGTTGACCGGAAGAGGACTCTCGGATATGAGGTGCCTGAAGCAGAGCCAAGCAGTCAGAGTGCAACTCTCGCCTGGCTGACAGAGAGAAAAGTGGCAGGATTAGTCATAAATCACCAAGCACTGCCGTATACGGTGTATACTGGACGACAATTTATCCATACAGAGAGCGTACAAACCTCCTGCTGCTTGCAGTAGAGTGCCAAGCTCTGCAGGGATCACCAAGTGCGTCACATTGACCACTTCTCTTTTCATCAATTCCTGTGAGAAGAGTTACTTTGGTCTACAATGGAATAAAAAGCAACAGTGTGAGGAGGAATGCGAGTTTGGGGTTACCATTTCTCTCTTCTTCGTCTCCTCCTCAGCTTTGCGCTTGGCCATCAACTTCATCTTGCAGGCAGACCGCAACAACCAAGTCAAGGATGTCGTTAGGATGCAAAAGAAAAGCAACACATTTGAATGTGATTTTTTTTTTCCTTTATTGCTTGTTTGATTTCACATAGAGTGAGTCTGCACCTTGACGTATCGTTTCCGGACGATATAATAATGGACGAGGGACCGGAACCGAACCATGCTGTGCCTCATTTTCACATAGTGCCTCCTAAAAGATGAGCATCAGCAAATTCATTCGTCTAAAACTGTCAAGATTATTATCGATACATCCATTTTCTAAAACCCCCACTCGGGTTGTGGGTGAGCTAGAGCCAATCGTGGAGATTTGAGATGAGGGTTTTGTGGCCCACCTCGTAAGAAATCCTCTGCAATGCGCCTGCAGCCTGATGATCATGTGGCGTAGATTCACGTAGCGTTTCCGGGCAAGGTACATGCGAGCGTAACGCTGCAGGGTGAGCGCGGCGAGGTGGCGACAGCGTTCCCGTTTGCACTCCAACAGCTGGTAGATGGCCTCCTTCACAAATAACTGCAACAAGCACAGCAAAGTACATTGTGAGTGACAACCTAGAATTAAAAAAGGACAACAAAAATACTTGGACCAGAGGGAAGAGCAAACCTTTGCGACGCCGACGTGGTAGTCTCCTGGTTTGAGAGGACACAGTTTACTGAGCAGAAGCACACAGCTGTCTCCATTGGCTGATGGAAGCTGCTGAATTCCCACCAGGGACTTATATCTACGCCAGATAAACACATCTTGATGCATTCGGTGATTGTCAAACTTAGTTTGGATGAATTTTCCAGTTTAAGAATGCAGATGGGATGTTTTGTCATTCAAGGCTGAACCAGAAAATAAAGCCTTTCACCTGAACAGGAAGATAGAAAATGGCATCCTAACAGGGTAGCCTTCTTTCCGGATCCTGATCGTCTCCATGATGCCGGAGTGACGCAGCTGACCTTTGACCAGGTCGTCTTCAAACACACCTGCATTCTGAACGCAGACGTACATCTCAACATGTCATGACTGACCGTGTTTGTGGGCTTGTCAGGAAGCTCTTTGTCAACATCTACCTTTGTGTTATTTGGCTTAATGCAGCGGACAAAAAACGGGTTGCACCTGAAATAGAGCCAAAGTAAGACAGATGAGAAATGGTTAAGGGTGACCTGGGGTATCAACCGTGTATTTCACCTCTCCATCTTGTCCACTAGCTCCAACAGAGACTGTTGGAATTTGCTGCTGACGGTGGATGCTTGGTATTTCCTGGTGACCGTGTTGCTTTTCTGCCCCAGGACTTCTGCATGAACCAGGAAGAGGTTCGACACCATCTAAAACGCAGTAAGTTTTTGAGGTGAGGAAAACATGAACAAGATGGGAATCTTTTTTTTTTTTTTTTTTTTTTTGAGAGGCCACATTTGTGCACAATCAGATGGGAATCTGGTTCAAGCTTAGTTCGATGAGCATTCACACTTAAAATATATTTGAAGATGCTTCTCTCACCTTGTTCCTGCTCTTCATGAATAGGTCCAACACATCTTGACGAACCTGATCGTAGTTTTTATCAAGGAACTTGTAAACCTGCAACATTAACAGGATTTTTTTTTTTAATTGCACTGAATTGCCTTTGTGTGTCTCCAAACCGATTCAGATCAACGTACCTGATAGGTGACCCGTCCAGCAAAATGCTTGATGGTGAACTCAGGAAAGGGCATCTTTGGCTTCACATACAATGGGTTATTGCCATGGTGATAGTGACACTTTTGGAGAAACGTATGATCCGTCGCCTATGGACACACCAGAAGTTTGACCAGCAGAATAACGAAGTCTTGCATACAGGATGTATGCAGAAGGGCTTCCCCTTGCCCACCTGTGGGAAACAGCTCTGGTCATCCAGGATTCTAAGTATGCCGTGGGGTTTAGCGGCGATGAGGTCAATGCAGGGTTGGTTGTCATTAAATGGAATATCCTGCCATGGAATTTGCTCCCTGTTGTACTCCTCCTGCATGGGAATCACATTCATGCTTTGTGCTCCATTTTTGGATGAATACTTGTCTTTCTCCCAGCTGTTTGCCGTATGCAAGCGACTTACCTGCTCTTCCCTGAAAATTATCTTATTAAAGAAGAACTGCAGGTACTCGTTGGCATAATTAATGCACAGCTGTTCAAAGCTGTTGTATGCCAGATCCTGTTGTTACCACACACAAGGGATAGTGACAAAGGCGGTCATTCATGAGTCGTCACCTAATATGTTTCTGATGAAAATACATCTCTTGTCTTTACACAAAAGGTCACACGAGAAGATGACAGCAGTTTACCTCAAATCCATAAATGTCCAGGATGGAGATGGAGAGGGTGTGTTGGCGAGGATACACCTGAGTGTTGACCCTCTCTGTTAACCAATGAAAGAGCAGCGAGTACAAGATCTTGGCAACAGCATCTCTGGGAGACAAAATAATCAATGAGATGACGTGACATTTTTGCACCGCCATTTAGAGAGAAGATGGCGGCTGTTAAAACTAGTTTTGGTGCTTAAATGTATTTCCTAAGTTTGGTGGAAACTAAATTTAGTATCATTCTCAGTGCCGTTTTTGGCTATTCACGGTTATGTTATTGGACACTACAACATGCATCACCTGGCATCTACAGCGCTTTCTACAGTCAGTGGGGTGTAAATCTTGTCTCTCATCGTCTCCTGTGAAAACAGAAGAAAATGTGTCCTTTATGCGTAATGCGGTGCACTACACACTAGGCGTGAGTGTGGATTTTTAAAAACTGACCATGACTTTATAAGTGATGGCTTTGTGCAGGCCTTCTGGAGAGATCTGCAACAGTTCTGCTACCACCCTGATCTCCTGAGCGCTCACCACTGTCGCCACCTCCTGGCCGTCAGTCTGAAGTGCAGGAGAGGGGGACACGGCTTTTTTAAAATTACTGTACGAGACAGTATTTTACACACAGCAGACATTTCAAAATCTGTACAGAAACATGACCTGATGTTTCTCAAAGTAGACATTTCCCAGGTGCAGTATGGAAGATAAAACTCTAAAAATGACCGACTGGTCGTCTGAGGTGAAGTGGAGGATCTCCATGGCAGCGAGCAGACGCTGGAAGTCTTCGCCATCATCTTTTCCTGTAATCCCACAATCCCCTCCCTGAGTTGGAAGCAAGCAAGCACAAAATAATGCAATATACTGTACATCTTGCATTATCAACATCTTGAAGAAACCTGCGGAAGATCTCCAGATTTTGCAGCCGAGTGTAGCCCACCTGGTTGAGGTAATAGTAAGTCTCAGGCTCCTGGAGATAGAAAGTCTGCTTCTGCTGAGACGAAAGGCCTGCCAGCATCTCATAGAAGATGTGATAGTTTCTTTCATCTTTGGCCTGAAGAGGAAACAAACATTGCCTGAAACACCTCCTTCAACACCCGATGAAAGGATGCCACCTGATGATGGATGTCTGCGTGCAATTACCTGGAAGACGATGCGCGACTTTTCCAGAAGATATTGAGAAGTTATGGCACCATTGATCACACCACTACGGGCAGAAGAATTGAGGAAGAAAAAAAGTATAGCGTATGAAAAGAGAGCTGCGGGGTGCTCAAACCAAAATATATTTGCAGAACTGTCATATACTCACTCCTCCATAAAGACCTCCATGTGTTTCCCGAAGCGACTGGAGTTATCATTCCGCACAGTTTTGGCATTTCCAAATGACTCAAGAAGAGGAGCAGCCTCAAGTATCTAGCAGCCGTTCAGTTCAAAGACACAGCATTTCAACATCTCACAGCTAAATGATAAATATGTGAGAATGAAATCTTTTATGACCAACGTTGAACTTAAGATGTTCCAGTAATTACAATTCTTGAATATAGATATGTTGACATAGACGGTAAGCACATGAAGTCTCAGTGTCAATGCATGATGTTGTTGCACACCACAACAAAACACGGCAAAGGTGATGATAATGGCACATGTGAAAATGCATTTGATAGTACGCAGAACATATCATGCAAGGGAACTTTACACTACCTCAATCTGTGCCCAAAAAGAAAAAAAAAAACACAAGGACATGAGCCATATTTTCAGTTAGGATGAATGACATCTGTGTGTGCGCACGTGTCACAGTATGTATGCATACCTGTTGGGCAAGATTACACGTGTGATGTAAAGCTACAAGGTAGCGAAGGACAAGTTTGGTGGCCTCAGTTTTACCAGAGCCACTCTCCCCACTGTAAAAAGTAGAAAAAAAAAAACAAAAAACAGGAAAAGCATTAACTGCCATGCTCAACACTGTATACGCCAGTGTTTCCCAACATTTATCGAACCAAGGTATCCATTTTACACTAAAGTATCCCATGGCTTACCACCAAACGTCCCGAAACGTATGAATACTGGAATAATGGTGCCTTTGTCTGAATTTAATCACAAATTTGCTGACTCTGTACGAATTCTGGGGCCATGTATTGAAGACAAAGTTTATATACTCGCAAAAAGCCATGACTTTCTCTTTTTTTTCCCCTAAATGAGGGTGACAAGCAGCAACAGTGAACCAATAAACAGGAAGTAGTTTGAGTTTTGCTTTTTATTTATTTTGTTACTTCAGATCAGTAGCGTCATACCCGATCCTGATTCACAATACCTGTTCAAGATCATCCCCAAGTTGTTTGATGGGGTTGCAAAGGTATTACACTTGTTCAGTGAAGCAGACACTTCATTAGTCCAACACAATCTTATGCATAAATATTTGAAAACAGCTTCATCGGATGAGGTACAACCTAACCGTTAGTCCATTATATGCATATTATACATAATTGTGCGGCAATAGTCTATATCATATTGCTATGCACATTTAAAAAAATAAACTATTCAAAGAGTTTATTTGTGACTTGAGTGTCAGTCTCTTACCTGATAATTATGACCTGATTATGTTTGGCGTCCATCATTTTGGAATAAGCAGCGTTGGCTATTGCAAACAAATGTCTGAGGAGGAAAGACATGTCACTTTGGCAAGCGGATGCAATAACCGACTGCGTGGACTGATTCCAAACCCGTCGTGAACCAATTGAAAGAATGACTTACGGAGGGTTCTCGCCCAGGGCACGACCCTTGTACTGCAGCACCATGTCCGTCCCATAGATGTTATACATCTTATAAGGGTTCACAGAAACCAGAATACTACCTATACAGGTCTGACATGTATAGAGGGGGGAAAAAAAAGTAAGTGACGCATCAAAAAAGAAATGGAAATGATTGCTCTTTTGAATACAACAACATAAATGAATGTGACACTTACATAAATAAGATTCCGTTCAAACCTTGTTTTTAGATTGAGAAGAACAGCATTGTCGTGCATCTCCCTAATGAAAGACGAAGCAAGTAGATGAGAAAATTGTGAATAACATATTTTCATGTGTACTATTTTTGGTGATTTATACTCAATTAGGATTTTTTTGTATAGTCCAGAAAAAATTGTTACTCAAGCTGTGTCATGTCTTCCACGCCATCTTCCTCTCGTAGCTCCCTTTGAGCTACTGTGGGCTGGCTTCTAATTGCGTACATCTGAAATAACATTTGGGGGGAATACGTCATGCTTTTATATTGCATTAGTCGCAAAAAAGATTGTCGATTCTCATCAAGCATTTTCTGCTGACAGACCTGAAATACACATAATTATATATTTACGGTATATGGGCTGTCAAAAGTGCTTACCTTGTCAAACCACGGACCCTGAGGTTCCCCTTCCCTGTTGAGATTACACACCCCTGTTTTAGGGCTGTTTTGCTGAGTCATCAAGTGCTGGTGGTCAATTAAGTTTTCATCGCCACACACAGACCACTTATTGAGGTTTTGTACTGTCCCATGAGGTAATATGCTCTCTGCACCCCATACATCCATGTCTTGCTGCAGGTCCACAACTTTAACTTCGGAGCCATGAGCCCAGTGCTTTTCAGGAACGGAATACTGGACATGTGGTGAAACCACAGCACATGAAGAAGGAAGGCGATAAGAGGCCCCCTGAAGGACTGGGTTCTTTAAGGCCCCAGAGAGATCAAAAGAATGGGGCTCCGGGGTGCCGAGGGTATCGAGTCGAGGCCCAATACTGTTGTCAGATCGATGGAAATTTGCTTCGCGGATGTTAGTGCTTTTTGACAAAGCACTGGACAGGTCAATTGTTTTTTGCGTAGAGGTGGACTGGTGTGGGGCCATCACAATGTTGGTTGGCAGACGGGAGGTAGGACGACTGATGTTCGGGTTTCGTAGAGCACTGGAAAGGTCAATGCCTGGAGCCACTGTAGGAGCAGTTTCCCTCAGTAGTGATGGGTTTGGGAGTCTGTAAGTGGCACCACGGATGCTCGTGTTCAGCAAGGCACCAGAAAGGACAGGTCCAGTGGCCATTGATGTTGAAGCTTGAATTTTATGTGATGAACCTTCCGGAAGCTGAGACTGTGCCTCGTGAAGATGAAGTATTTGGGATGTACTTTCAGGATTCTTCATTGTTTCTCTTGGCTGAATTTTAATTGAACTGGTTGAGAGTTGATAAGGGGACTTTAGAGCATTAACATTTACCAGTGCAGAAGACAGTCTCGGAGAGGAGGTTGCGACAGTCTCTGACGATGGCTTTGTTCTCAAAACTGTCGTACCATCAGGCAGTTTGTAAATAGGTTTCCTAACTTTGGGATTCAGCATTGCAGAAGAAAGCATTGGTGATGCAGGAATGGTTGTGGTTTTGGCCTCTGAACTGGTCCCTAGCATGCCACTAGGTAAGCGATATGTGCCTCGCTGCAAATGGGGATTAAGAAGGGCAGAGGACAACACAGGGGAGGAATGGGGCTGTACAGGAGAGTATTCAGCAGGTTCACTTTGATTTATAATCATGCCATCAGGTAGTTGATAGGAAGCCTGATGAAAATTTGACTTCTGCATAGCATTGGAGAGAAGAGGGGATGACTGATTTGTTCCACTAGCTCCATCAACTCCATCAACAATGGTAAATTGAGTTTCAACAGGATTTGGGGGTGTTGTTAAGGTGTCGACCGTGGGTTTAAACATTGATCCTTTGATTTGTGAGGTCTGAAGTCCAGAGAGAAGTGAGGAGTTAACTCTGACAGTTTGTTGAGCAGTAGAGGCATGAGACATGGGAGAGAGATGTCGCTGAAGGGGTGACGTAAAAGATTTATTACGTAGCTGGGTATTATGCATAGCAGAGGATAAACATGGGGGTGATGATGTTGATGAGGGACCAGGAACTGATGAATGTGTTTGTGAAAGGAAAGTTGTGTCTGGGTTGGCGTTGGGGAGGAGGGGAGATGAGTAAGAGGAACTGTGCAGGTGAGTGCCCTGCATCAAATATTTGGATTGACCTGGAGGGGCATTTTGAGTCACTTCTTGGCCATTTTGGGCTTCAGCCACAATCTCACCAGCAGATGAGTGAGGGTAAAATTCCTGTTGTCTTTGGGGTGTGTGGTGAGTGACATAAGATAGAGAAGAGGGAAGTTGATAGAGGGGAAATGGGGTATGATTTTGAGATGAATTTGTTAGAAATAAAGATGTAGCTGGCTCACTAGCTGTGTGGCCAAACTCTTTCACACTCTGAGAGGGTGAAGGAGTACTTGGTCGTGGTATCGGATAAGGAATTGGACGGTGAAAAGATGTTGCTCCGACATTCTGGGGACTCTTGGTCCTATTTCGTTGGGAGGGATGTGAATAAAATCCATTGCTCTGAGGAGAAGCTAAAGGTATGGTAGATGATTCCTGAAATGGATATGGAGATTGCAGTCCATTATGGAGCTCATTCCCAAATGGTTGAGGAGAAAATGAGGTGGCCTGTTTGAATGACGGCTGCCGAGACACCAGGGGCCTTGGAGGAGGTTCTCTGAATGAAGGAGGAGAGGACTGATGTCTGGGCATACGTACTAGTGGCTGTCCCCTACCAATAGGTCTTTGGAAGCCCATTTGAGGTTTTGAGTCCCTTGACTGCAAGCCTTTCCCTTTCCTTGCTAGCATAGGGATCTCAACTACACCATTTAACTGTCCAGAGGGAGGGCTTCGGCAACTGCGAATAGAGGACCTGAATGGAGCTACATGCTGAGTAACAGGGGGTCTACGTCGACTTCGTCTTCTTGGGTGGACGTTAGCTGGAGAAGGTTTCACAGACCCCATGGGAACGTGACTTGGGCTTCCTGAAACACCTTTAAACTTGTGAGTAGAAGTGTGGTTGGGGAGGGGCTGCCTGGTATTCTGCGACTGGGAAGGAGAGGGAGGATGATCGATGGGGGTAGCTTGGACAGTTTGATGGGGAGACTGAGCACGTACAGATAGAGGAGCTCTTTCTCTTGGTAAAAAAGATGGAGGTGAAGAAGGCGATCTCCTCACTTGGGATCTTCGTTGTCTACTTTGTGCTCTGGAAGATGGAAGCGGCGATGCACTTGAATGCTGTTGTTGTCTGAGATATAGTCTTGGATCAGGGGGCGGACCCTCTCCCTTCCTCAGGGATCCTCTTGGTGTAGTTATGGGACTTTGATGTGGGGATCGAGATTGAACCTTCTGAAGCCCAATTCCAGCCCTCACTGGTGTAACAGGTGGCTGAGAAGTAAAAGACTCTCCATTCACATGGAACTGTGGTGAAACATAAGGGTTTTGTAGTCTCTGTGGAGAGGTTGGCCTTTGGCTTGTAATTGGGGATTGGTGTGTAAAGTCTCTTCTGTACAAGTGAGGGGGAAAGTGGTCTGGCTGGACGTGTGGTTGAAAGTCCATATGATTAGCTGACATTCCTGGCCTGAGTAAGGGAGGCGGGTTGATGCCATGTACTGGTTTTGATGCGGCCAGTGGGGGATATGACGGTGGATGCATCAATGAAAGGTCATCAGTTTGTACTCTTGGGACTGTTGATGGCATTTGCTCCATTTGAAACATTGGTGGGTTTCGAGGGTAAGATGGTTTATTCACCTGGGAGGCAAACTGCGGTAAAGAAAATGATGGCAGGTGATGAGGGGAAGTGGCCAGCGGAGGGTGAGTAGGGTGGTTTAGTTGCACGTGGTCATGTTGAATCATCTCAGCTGTTTGTGAAGATGGTATGATGGGGGGTTGTTGGTGGTTAATGGCAGTTGGGAAGTGGGGCTGTGCTGGGATGTAAGTGGGAAGGAACTGCTCATTATGATGTATAAGGTCAAAACCAAGAGATTGAGATGAAAACATGGGGGTCAAATGTGGTGGTGGTGGTGGTGGTGGTGGTGGTGGTGGTGGCAAGGTTTCCACATCCAGTTTTTCCTTTCCAAATAATCTAACCTGAGGCCTAGGGACTCTGAACTGCTCAGGAGTAGAATTAGCAAAAGGGATTTGCTCATATCTGTAAAGATCTTCAGTTTCTTTTGGAGCCAGCCCACTGTCAACATTGGATGATTGCTGGTAAGGTAAATGAAATCCAGCAACATCTAAATATCCCTGCATTGGATCTTGATGTACGGGTAACCCTGGGAGAGAGGCAGAACCAGCATTCACCATACCATAGTGTGCTGACAAGCCATAGTCATAACCCATATGATGATGAAAATAAGAATCAGTGTACATTTCAGATTCATCTGGATCGTAGATAGTCTCCATGGCATTGCCAGAGTAATCTAATGGCTCGTGCACAATGGCATAGAGCTTTCCATCATCACCATAGTAATACTCCACCGCATCATTACAATTATCTTCATACTCTTCATATGGATAAGTATAGTCATCCAGATCACTATCATCATAAAACTCATCATCAGGATAAAAGTTGCCGTCTTCGTCGTAGTAACCATATTCATTTTCCCACTCATCATCATTATCATCATCATCATCATCATCGTGCTCAAAGTCCTCTGGCTGCCCACTGTGGTAGTCTTCCTCAGACCCATACTCATCTTCGTCATAATCCGAAGGGTGGTTGTAATACCGTGGTGATCGGTTTGCAAATGACAGTCGTTTTCGTCCTTGACGCTGTGCCCATGCCCCTAGTCGACCTCGGCCCTTGGAACTTGGCAGCCCCGCTATCAACCAGTTGGTGGCAGCAGCTATCCTTGCTAGCATCCATCCTTTTGTCTTGAATCTCAATCCCACTTTTTTGGGGCCAAACATGCCTTTGAATTTAGCTCTCAAACCCTTCGCCTCTGTGGCCATGCACCCCGTCCCTCCTAAACTGGACAAGTCCAGCGTCTTTTTGGGAGGGGGAGGAGGACTGGAATTGTCTGGACTGTTCTCTTTTTCATTGACTAGGTTGGAATCCAAGGGACTGGCCTTTTGCTCATCTTCTTTTGACCCATGTCCTTTTAAAAGCTGGAACCCCGATGGACCTGGCTTTTGCTCCTCAGGGGTGGATTTAGGCCCAAGTCCATTTGAAAGTTTGGTGGTGCTTAGAAGAGGTTTACCAAAAGGCAGTGGTTTCTCATTTTTCTTAGAGAGAGGTATGAAAAGCTTGGATGTGCTTTTAAGGCTCCTCTTTGGTTGAGGTTTCTCTGGCTGCTTTTGTTTGGTTGGGAAACTAAATGGAGAGGCCTTTCCTGTGAGACCGCTGATAACTTTCGAGGCCCCTCGGAGGTGACTCTTGGCGTGAGCCGTCTTCTGCAACTTTCCTTCCGCTATGTCGTTCTTCTGTTCCTCTGCGGCTAAGCCCATCATGACTTTTGAAGCGCCCTTGATTTGGACGTCACTCACATTTTTCAGATTGATTGCATCCATCCCTTTCTTTACTTGTGGTTTCCCATTGTCTAGTACCTCATCCTCATCATCCAGAGAAGGTGAATCACTTGGGGGAGGCTGAGGACCCTTCACAGCTGTCACTTTAAAGGCACTTTTAACAACTGCTCGACCTTTATCTATATCAAGAGGAGCTGACACCTTAGCCACCACTTCCTCTTCATTCTCATCACTATCTTCATCCTCACTCCTCAACTTTTCTTCCTCAGATTCCTCCTCTGACTCACTGACAGGTTTATTTTTCTTACCTTCCTTCCCACCATCCTTCCGCTTTCCCTTAGTTGGTTCCTCCAGTTTCTTTGCTCCTTTCTTTGCATCCTTCCCTGCCTTTTTAGTGTCCTTTGCTCCCTTCTTTGTCTCCTGTGATTTGCCTTTCTTGGCAACCGCTTTTGAATCAGCTTTCTTGGATGGCATGATATCAGCTAGTATGGAAAGGTAGCCACACAGTGATTAAATTGATTGGTGTCAAGACAACCTCCTTTCATCATGTCTTGTTTTCTTCAATTTCATCAAGTTTCACTGCAGAAAAACTGCACACTGTAAAAAAAATTCAGTCAACACTGAGACAAAAACAAACCATGGTCCTTCAGTCCTGGATCCAAAAAAAATGACTGCTTATCCTTCAGCGCTCACTCAAACATGTTGTCAAAGCTTAGCCACAAAAATGTTTTTCTATATTTTAGAAAATAATCAGAAAGATTTATTTAGAAGGCATTTAAGTTTAAATAATGACATTGGTTGCTCATTCAATGTAAACGTTCTATTATAAAATAATTTTACTTCTGCCTGTTATGTAAATTTCTTGCCTTTGGTCCCCTGGATCCTCACAAATGCCGTGTCCAGAAGAAAATATAAGTTCCTGGTCCTTGTTTGTTTTTGTACATCATGAAAGTATATTCGCAGGGTCACACAGAGAATAAAAGGCAAAGCAATGGAGTACGTGTAGTCCTTTGTGTGGCTCCCATTGTCATTGTGTCCTGTAAGTTCCGGAGTGCATCCCCATCTTGGCTGCCACGCAAACTTTGTCGGGACGTTCCCTCGGCGAAGAGAACTGAGAGCGGTCAGTTTGTCTTGGCGCTGGAAGGGTACGTTCCTTTTTGTCCCAGGTTGAGCATTCGGACACCCTCTCTCACTGCTTTGTGACCTCCTGCTGCCTTTTGTAACTGGTCACTGCGACTTAATTCAACCTAATTTAATGTCATCATGATCATTCTGACAGTATCTGTGTGAGAGTGTGCTGTGTATCCTCTGTTGCAAGGGGCACCTTAATGTACTGTCTCAGGGTAACCCTATCTGTGGACTCGCTTGTGTATGAATAATGCAGGATGACTGAGCTGTTCCTAAACTGTGTCTGAGAGGCAAAGCGACACAGAGTCAAAACACAAACACCTGAAGGCCCGGTGGTAGACACTGAGTAGAAACACCCTGTTGCTCAGTCTCTTCTTTACATTAACGTTCACCCTCATCAATGTTACACACTTTGCACGGGGGCTTCCATGTGTTTATGGTTGGCTGATGATGCACTCCATCCATCTTAATCGCCCAATTTTCTACTCAGTTCATTAATTGAAAGTGACATCACGATCGGGACAACAGATCCACCACAATTTCCGAGCCTACTTCATGATCCAATATGGCATTTTTAACATTTCCATTAATTGCAACATACTCAAAAATCAAGTACATTAAGTTCCACTTACAGTAGGGACAAAAAAATAACAGCCTAATCTAGGGAAGCCTGACTCTCATCACAAAAAAAGAAGCAAGTTGGTCCTTCCTTTTTTTACTAATCTAGGGAAGCCTGACTCTCATCACAAAAAAACATACAAGTTGGTCCTTCCTAAAAGTTTTTTGTGGAAAACTGCATCATGTTAATTCATTGATGATGGGCTGATATTCAAGGAGGTCATCTCAGTGGCAGATATGAATGTTTGATGACTGCCACTGTGTTCTGCCTACACAGCGCGGATAAAACATTCATTGGTGGCCACTCTAAATATATCACAAAGCATCACCTCCCACCCTGGCGCGCTCCCCGAACGACATATTATACATGCGGGCAAGTGTCAGGGGTTAACAGCCAGGTAGCACAGAGCAGACGGAGGGCAGATAGCTGATGAACAAAAGAAAAGAGCTCATTACCGCATAGCGCATGAATTCAACTTGTAACATGCTGATTTCACTCTGAAAATCAGCAAAGACAATGAGCGATAACGAAAAATGCATCGTGAATAGACTGTACAATAGTACAGGTCATCTTTTTGCTCATTGTTGAATTCCAGGAAGGAGAAAATAACCCCACACTTCAGAACGCGAGGACGACCATTGTGCTATTTATCTGCTCCCTATAATCATTTGTTCCTTTCATGTTAAAGAATGAATTCGATGACCTTTTAAAAAACGGGGACAAATGCCTTAGTGACGACGTAGATACGGTGATGCCACCTTGTGGTTAGTGGACCACACAACACAACCTGCTTTTTAGAACATCTGACGTTGACGACATACCGGTTTCGAGCATGGAGCAGATAAAGAACTCAACGATTGTTTCAATTAAATAGAGGACTTCAAACTAACGAATTTGCTAATAATGCAAATATATTGCAGCGCTTGTTTATTTGAAAAGCTATATTTATAAAACAGTCCACCTTAAACATCACGTGGTGCTAGCATGAACTTACCAGTGATGCTAATGAGGACCCACATTATAGTCAATGGTTGGATGGATCGTAAATAAGTTACTCTAGTTAATAAGTGGCATAGTTTAACTTGGTATTTATTTGCTTCTGACCTATAATCTACAGTTTAAACGTGTTTTTTTTTTAATCAGCTATCTTTTGACTGGAAATGGCACATTAAATGTAATGCATTTTTAGTAATAATGTCTGGGCCAGGGTTCTTAAGAATGGTACATTATTTTCTTCAAATTTGTCAAGGATGTGAGTGATTTTACCCTCATATAAACAATTAGAATGACAAATGTGTCATTAATATTCAACAAATCCTTGAATTTTTTTTTTAATGTCACTTTCCATCATCCTTTCCAACCAGACTGACTTACAAAATTCCCTTGACTATACATTTTGGGAAGGGTAGTTGGGGCTTAACATGATGTCACACACTGATAACATGAAAATAACACTTTTTTTTAATTGTGCGTGTATGTAGAAAAGTGGCAAATTACATTGGGAACAAAAGAAGCAAGACCCTCCGCCAGTCCATTTATCAACCTCCAATCCTTTTCTACTCAATTTGTATACTGTAAATAAAAACCAAAAAACATGATCTTGACTTACCTTCTTGCTTAGTTAGAGCCACAGTCACTTGTCATAATGCACCTACAGCCATCGAAGCATTCGCTGTGCCCACAGACGCAGTCTGTCTGGACCTCAGAGATCTTCTCTGGTACATCTGCTCACGTTTTATAGCTCACTAAACACACGCACACAAAGAACAATGTTTCGTGGATTATATGAGCATTCGTAGGACAAACGCCCACTATTTGCAACATACATACAATGTACCACACGACTTATGTGGTACAGTCTGCACATGAGAGCTGCAATATTACATTTCACAGTAAACATGCTTCACTTATATATATATGTGTGTGTAGCCTGGGTAAACCACTGCACAGACCTATTGTGTGTTCATAAGTGGGATAACACACACACACACACACACACACACACTAAGCTATCATCCCACACTGGCTGCCAACGTCAAAGCCTGAAGTGAACACCCCCCCCTCATGACAGAAGGTTGTAAGGCGCTTGTGTGTGCGTGCTTATCAGTGCGCCACACATACACTTGCCGCAAAAAAGACATCTCTCAGGCACACATGCACCCACACACGCAGGGTCAAATTGGCACAATAAATGAGGGACGTCATGGGTTTTGCCACACAAAGAGAGAATAGACACACAAAGACAACAGTGGGTGGATGATTGCACCCCAGTGCTCGTTGCAAAAAAAATAAAATAAAACACTTTCAAACCCAGTCTTCGACTCCAGTAAGCCTCCTATAGATCCTAACTAAAGGTGAGTAAACAGGCTGCTATTAACATGTTTGTTCACAGGGTCGCTATACGTCTGCCGAAGCACAAATACGCATCCACGTTTGCACAGCATGAAGTGATAAAACATGTGCTCTTCTCTCGCATGATACGCAAACAAGGATGAGCTGACATTGTATGCGAGCGTCTCGCATGTCATTTGTCATTAAACGTCGCAAACCACCTCTTGTATGAGTAAGATGCACTCAGCGGCCAGAACATCAGATACATTTCTACGATACTAAGAGTCCATAAAACTTTTGCATTAACAAAAAATCTGTCTTTAAAAGTACTGTATACTAATATCGGGTCGGAATGAATAATAGAGCAGGCCATATTTTAAGTGTCTACACTTTCTTGACATTCATTTTGTCGATGAATGACTCGAACAGGGTGTAGTCATCAAACGGTTGCATCTATTTTAGCCCAAAACTATTTCCAGAAATGAACTTACAACTTTACACACCGCGATAAAACCATGAGATGAGAAGGCTTACGAACAAGCACAATTCTAGCCTGTGTTCAGTCACCACGCGCACGCAAACACAGCATTCAGGTAGCATCAAGTGTCTGCTCCACTCACGCAATTGCACACTCAGTCCACTGTACCTGTCCTCTCCTCTTCCCCCGACAGTCATCCCTCTATCATTCCTCTCTTCCCACTCAGGTTATTCCAAAGCTCTTGGTGCATGGCCTGCTACTACTACACATGATGAAGACATCTTGAATGAGATCATCTTTGAAAGAAGAGGGGACTCCAAGAGCCCCTCTCCCCTTTGGCAAAGTGTATCCCCACTTCTCTTCCTCTTCATCAAAGAGATGCTGCTCAATTTTTAATGTTGCCATTGTGCTTGTGTGTGTGTGTGTGTGTGTGTGTGTGTGTGTGTGTGAGAAGCATGTACATTGGCTGAGAGATTAAAAAAAAAACAAAGAAAGAGAAGCAGTTGGGTGGTTGGAATGGGGGCAGGGAAGGTTTCAAAAGTGAGAGACCCTTACCTGCGGCATAGTGGGAAGAAGGTAGCAGGTATGCAGGGAGACAACTACTCGTGAGATGTTTAGAGCATAACACAAACGAGGACTTTCTGGTTTGAAACTAAGGTGGACTTTATTCTCTCTTCGTCATGTCTGCCTTTGTCAATGAATTTAGTTGTTGAGTTAAAAGGGAAATGAATCAACTTTTGCTTAACTCAGAACGGCTTTAGATATATCTTTTTTTTTGTTGTTGTTGTTAAAAGAAATATAAAGAGATTTGTGGGTGCGCTTCCATTGCAGAACAGTCTTTACTTCTTGACGATCTGGATGACATCCTCGTGCTCCATGATGTGCGTCAGGCCCACCCTCTGAGGACTGTACTTTGTGCTGGTGCCCTGCAAACACGTGCGACATTTTATGATGGGGAACGCGTTTGATACAAGTCTTGAAGCAGCTCTAATTACCATTTAAAGTGATTCAATTAGCCAACTGCATCAAAATCAACAGGATAGTAATTAATCACACAGAGCTTTGCCCCGTTTAAAAACATCACCAAGAATCAACTGATTGTTAACTTTCCCCGTATCAATCGAGGAAATGTAGTCCAAAGCCAGCTTCTAGAGTCAAATACACGGTGGTGCTGTGTAAAAACGTACCCAAACCAGAGCATACTTGAACTGGCTCGCTAAGGTTCTGTGGATGCGATGGCACTGCAAAAAAAAAAAAAAAAAAAAACAAACAAAACATATGCAATGTTGGCCTCAAATCAACGCGACACACTGCAATACGTGATGACATGCGGCTCTCCGCAGCACATTTGCTGAGAATCTACTGACCACATGTTCCACACTTGCTCCTCTTCTCATGATGATGGCATCAGCGAAGTCTGGGCGCTCTGAGGTGGTGAGGAAAAAAAAAAAAAACACACACAAGTTGATAAAAATGACTGCAGAAGGGATTTAGAAGCAAAGTGCTGTATTATGTTTGTATACAGAACCTCCTCTTTTCTTGGTAAAAATACAAATCAAAGCCAAGTATTCCCACAGCGTCTCGAGAAGGTAATCCAGGTTGAGCTTCATCCCACAACTAGTCAAAGAAGAGCAGTCAGTGAACCGGTAAACCAACGGACACAATAGCGCCCGGTAAAATGGCCGACCTGATGACAACACTGTGAGGTCTGTGAGCCAGGCGGTCCACCTCCTCAATGGAGATTTGATCCACCTTATTGTACACCTGGTTGATGCAGAGATCAATATTTTGCGTACATAAGAAACACAAGTTGAGCAGCAACTCAAAACAAGCCTTCAAAAAAAAATAATAATAATAATAATAATAATAAAAAAACAACTGACGTATAGACAAGGCATGTAAACTCTGTTCCCGACAATGACGTCAATGAACTCGTCCGGCGTGCTGTCCTCCCTGAAAAGGACTTCGGCGTTAAAGATTTCTGATGGATGGTCAAAGAAAACAAGCGCATTAGATGCTCATTTGCTTTTCTGCTTTCCTGCTTGTGAAGGATACTATATTCGTGAAGGATGAGCTGAACCAGCTTCTCCGAGCAGTGGGTTAGAGGTACTGTGGAGTTGTAGGAGAGGCCACCGCCTTTCTTTTGCTATGGAAGCACAGGGGAGGGCGTTGGGAAAAAATATGCTTCTTGAGACAATCCCGATTTTTGTAAAAAAATTAATTAATTGACATTTCTTATAAAATGGTTAATTTTAGAGCAGCACAGAGAAAGAGAGGTTAACATATCGGCCTCATGGTCACGCCAAATTGTCCATCGGTGTGAATGTGAGTGGGAATGATTAAAACCGCTTACCTTGAAATATATATTTGGTTTTTCCCTGTTCAGCCTAATGCCCACCGACTCCAACTCTTTTTCTAAAAGTGCTCTAAGGATAAAAGACAAACGTCATGGCTATAGTCTGGAAACTGACACACACAGACACGCACGTAAAATGACTTGGCCTCACTCACCTCTGGACGTCCCCTTTGGTGGCATCCAGCATCATGATCACAACGTCTGCTGTCCTGGCGACGGCGATGACCTGACGACCCCTTCCCTTACCTGTCAGTGTATCATAATTACACAATAATCATCTGCACTGGGGCAGTCTGGTGTGAAGGATGGCAGTTGCTGACTCAGCAAAACATGATGGAGCAGTTTTGATTACCTTGTGCGGCGCCCTCGATGATTCCTGGCAAATCCAGCAACTGGATGTTGGCCCCTTTGTACTGAATGTTGAAAGACATGCAAGTGTGGGTGGGACAAAAGCCACGAGAACACTTTAGATGTGTCATGATGTGAATGACTGTACCTCAATGACACCTGGTATGCAGGTGAGGGTGGTAAACTCGTAGGAAGCGGCTTCACTGGCTGTTGATGTCATCAAGCTGAGGAAAGTGGACTGGAGCACACAAGATTGAATACATAAAATATGGGTTTATGAGCTAACGGCTGTGCTTATGAATTCAGTTATGTGGTGTCTACGTTTCAACACTAAGGGGGCACTACGTAAAGAGACTATATCCAGGAGATAACAGTAGAAGAAGAAATTAGAGCTGAAGTAGAAGTACAGTTTCACAAAGTTAAAGAACAAAAAAACCTGCTCACGAATGTTCAGATTTTCATAAGGGGCCATCACCAAAATATGAGGACATACCTTGCCCACTGAGGGGAAACCAATAAGAGCAACACGTGCATCTCCAGATTTCATAACATCGAAGCCTTCGCCTTTGGCCCCCGCCGACTTGGAGGGCTCCAGCAGCTGAGATCTGTATTTTGCTAACTTGGCCTTCAGCAAGCCCAGATGGTACTCAGTGGCTGTGAAAGAAAGGAAGGAAATCACCACAGACCAGCACTGTTATTCTGCAACTGTCACGTTGACTTCTTCACAGACAAGGCAGAATTGCTTGTCATCACTTTGAGGAGATAGCACATGTTATAACAATATTATTTTGTGTTCAAGGCAGGTTTAGAGTGACATGCCACTGGCATAAAACACTCCAAAGTTCTTCCATTATTTTCATTGCTAACAGTATGATAGCCGCTTGTTCCCACGTTACCTTTGTTTTTCTGAGTCCGAGAAATTTCTCTCTCGATTTCGGAGATTTTCTCCAAAATCCCCATAATGGCACTTCAGCTGGACTGCAATTGCACTGTCAAATGAGGAAAACCCATACAAAAACGTGTCAGTCTAGCATGGCTAGCGAAACCGCTGTAAAGCTACGCAAATAGATGTAACAGTCGGAAAATAAAATTTCAAAAGGACGATAAGTCAAACCCACAGTTGTTTAAATGAGGAACCGCATTCACAGCGTGTGGCGTCTAGTTTTCAAAGCTGCACGAACATAGGTTTACACTTTCACATAAACTCCACTGCTCTGCATGCTCCCGAAGACCAAAACCATGGCAGCCTCGTACAATTGGGGGCAACACTTCTTCGTTTACAACGCCATTGGCCACGAACATAGAAGGCGCAATACCGCTCTCTTGTGGGGGGAGTGTGAACTACTGAACGCCCAGGGGAACATTTTTAAATCCGACACATGGGTTTAAGACACCAGAGAAGCCACTTTCCGGTCCTGACGTCTCACCACTGCGTCAACGAATCCACCATCATCCACGTTTGCGTGATTGATTTCACTGCACCGTCGATGCATGAACGGTTTCCCCTTGGTCTTCCGATTTGAGCCACTAGATGGTAGTGTTTACCAAAGTATAGATGTATAGACTCCGCCCAGTTATGGCGTTAGACCCGGAAAACCGTAAGCACGTACTGGGTTCTCGCTTCCGTCAAAGACACGCCAAGTATAGGACTTACATCACACGGGGAAGCATGCAGAATCTGCAGATTAAGCATGTTGGTTCGCTCCTAAGAATAATACATTTAAAATCATTTTGCAGACTAACAACCAGTCAGTAAATAACTATTTTAATTTAGCGGGTCGGAGGACAAACATGTCTGCGTCCGCATCCCAGAAAGGCTCACCATCCTCCAACTCACCTGCTTTTGACGGTTTTCCTTTTCCGGTGGTCGGAAGAACTTCTGAGGAAAACTCCAGCGGGGAGCAGCAGCCAACTGGAGTGAAAAAGAAGCCGTGCCGCGCTTGTACGGATTTTAAATCATGGATGAAGTCACAGAAGCAGCAGACGACAGCTGCTGTTCAGGTGACATGAGGTCAACGCAGGTTGTTGGCAGGTGTTTTAGAAGAGCGGTCGCCAACCTTTTTTTAAGAGGTGGGGGGAGGCTGGTTTCTACAGACCGGCAGAGATACGCATAAAAACACATTAATAAAAATTCACCATTACGCTGAGTGTAGTGGTTGTAATTACGGCGGAATTTTGCGCTTGGTTCTCTTTAACAAATTTCTGATTTTTAACCTACTGACTGGTATTTTCTGAAACCTCACCCATTCACTGTTTTCTGCTCAACACAAAGCCAAAGTCTTACTCTGGCACCATCTTGTGGTGGCTTGGTGTCAAGGAACTGCTGAAGTGAGTTGAGGAATTTCATTTAGTCAAAAGTTGCACTTTGCCGTTATGTGGCAACTAGAAGGCCAATGGCAGTGGCAATGGCTCTTCAAAGGAGTTTGTTTCTCTTACTCATTACTGGTACTAGTGCTTGTGGGGTTATTTTTTTCTACTACAAAATCACATGGCTCAAACAAGTAGTTTGTTCATAGAGGCAAAGCGTATCCAGCTGGTTTTTATAATAAGACTTCTTTCAAACTCTTTGGGGGGTGGTCAGTTGTTTCAGAAGACAAACCATGAGAAGTGTCCAACTAAATACCACAAATCAACTGAAAGCAGATTCTACTGTCCAGCACATTATTATTCAACTTCCATTTTAAACCATTTCAGGAGTCCCAAGCGGAGCAAGACCCCGAGTGCCCACTGGACAGGCAAGAGCTGGGACGTAACACTTGGTCCTTTTTGCACACCATGGCCGCATATTATCCCGAAAAACCAACTGTCAACCAGCAACAAGAGATGGGCCAGTTCATTAACCTCTTCTCCAAATTCTTCCCCTGTGATGAATGTGCAGAAGACCTTAGGAACAGGTCAGATATTATCATAGTAGTGATTTTTAGACATATGTATTTGTAGGCATGTGATTAAAAAGTTACATTTTCGTTATGTCTCCTTTAAAAGCTATACCACGAATCATCCCTCAAATAGACGCCTCTACTTTTCTCAGAAGAAAAAAAACAGTAAATGTCATTAACTCAGATCATAGACATTAGTTCGCTATTTTCGGAAATATTGTATCTTGTCTTTGTCGAGGCAGTTTATCATATGACATCATTTCCTCCCTACAGATTAAAAACCAATCAGCCGGACACCGGGAGCCGTCACGCTCTGTCCCAGTGGCTCTGTCGACTCCATAACAACATCAATGTGCGTCTGGGCAAGCCTGAGTTTGATTGCTCTCGAGTTGATGAGCGATGGAAGGATGGATGGAAAGATGGTTCCTGTGACTGAGAGAAGCCCTTGTACAACTTTTGAGTACAGACGCTGCCTGCTTTTGAACGATATCACGTGACAGGATATGAATTAATTTTTCATGGATTTTCCTCTTTTGCTCTCTCCGAATATATTTGTTCCCATTAACAAAATTAAGGGTACAAACTGTTCTGGACCAACACTAACATGGAAACATTACGACTGTGACGGGACACTGTTTTGAGTCTGGATATTTATGCTTTGGTGTTTGTTCTCATCGGTGCAACGAATTCCACATTAAAGGGTTTTTTTCCCCCCCTATCAAATGTTTAGATGTCATTCTGCATTGTCAGATCATCAAATAACATTTTTGGAGTCTAACCATATGACATTTTCAACCAAAATGGATTTTTCATGGGGAGACAATTTAGTTGCAAGTCAAAGGACTTTTAAAGTCAATTGCGATATGATCTGTTTGTCTGCGTGAGCCTGTCTATAGACGGGCTATTAATAAACACTAAAATGGGCACACATGCATACCAGTCTGCTCACGTTGACCCTTGACGTGATCTAAGCAGTTTTGTATGCATCACACATTTCTCTATTCCAGGGATCAACAATGCGGTGCCCGAAGGCACCAGTTAGCCCCCATGGGCCACATGAGTAGCCCGTGGGTCTGTTAAAAAAAAAAAAAAAAAACAGCAAAATAGCTCACCGGTTATTTAGCTAGATAGATAAATATCCAGAACATTAGGTATGTGTTTAAATATTCCACAGTCATGACTTGACCGTGCAGTATTGATCCCAATGCGCTCCCAGAAGTGAGGGCGAAAGCAAGCCTCGTGCTCGTCGCGCGCGTGTCCGCTACAGAAGGCGTGAGCGCGCGCGCAGGAGCGTCCCTGCAGCACAGCAAAGCGGAGCAGAGCTGGGCAGCGCGTGCCCCGGAGCCGCGAGGAGCGAGCGAGCGAGCTTCGAGGAGCGTTCACGGAACCAGCGAAGATGGACGGAGTGGGATCGTTCGGAGCGGGCCGCGCCGGGTCCACTATCGACCCTATTAGCTTCGCCAAACAGCCACAAACCATCCTCAGAGCCTTGTCGTGGGTGAGAGATGCTAATTTTTTTTATTTTCAAATGATTAGTAACGCCACTGCTGTTTTTGCGCGTGGGTTATTTCTGTCAACGTAGCTGCGCGAGCCTCGTGACGGGGTCCTTCTACCAATCGACATATAACGATTAGAAACGAAAAATACACGAACGATAAATGGAGCGTATTTGTAAGGAAGGGGTGGCAAATGTTCTGTTCTTGGGTGTGTTAGTGCAGAGGATGAAACCAAGGCCCAGCGACGAGCGTTTGTCTTATTACAGATGTTCAAGAGATACAAACGCAACATAACACCGCCTTTCTGTTTTTTTTTCATCAATTAAACGTGCCACATTGTGCTGCGTTAAAATGAGCCAAAAACATCCTCAATCACGTTAAGCCTCGTATCTGTATCGTTTAAATGATCACATATAGTCGTATTCATTATGCAAAGCCTTATTGTTCAGCAAAATTAGCCGCCGATTTGCCTTAAACGTAGTCTGTCATCCCACCTGTGATTGGTCCGTGAACGTCACTGCGCACGCACCCAGTCCCACGAACTCGCGTCGCGGCCTGACGTGTGAAAGCAAGCGTCACTTCAGGGTGGCATGCGGAAGGTCTTTTCCCCCCCACTGGCACGACCAATGTGGGAATGTCTGTGATGTAAGGGCGAGAAATGGGTGTAAATTTTAGACACGAAAGGGCTGTTTGGTTCAGATGATCGCGTTGACGCTGGCACTGATGATATGTTCCACATCTTAATCAGAACTGGCCAACATGCGCTAAATACAAACAACTCCCCATTGCTGTCCATCAGTCTGCCGCTTTGTCTATTCCATCCATCCATCCATCCGTAGCTATTTGTCCGTCCATATTATCCATCCATCCATCATTAGCTTATTATTTAAATCATCGAACATGATGAAGTGCATCTTTTTCCTGACGCTTTGAAGGTTACTCTTCCAAACATAACGGCTTCAAGATCATAAAGTTGGATAAGGCCTTTAGTTGGCGTATCCCTATGAATCCAAATACAGTAGCCATAGATAGTCTTGTTTCTCCTTGTCGTCACAAAACGTTTCACAAAAACGTCATACGTGTGTATATCCTTCTTTTACGCAATCGGGAATATTGAAATAATTTCAACAATGATAGTCGTGTGATTTTTTTTTTTTTTTTTGCAGGTGCATTGCTTTGCTGCAAAAGCACCAAGTCACTCGAACCACCTGTGTATCTAAGCAGATTAGAAGCTCTCACGTGATTGTGGCTCTGACATTCTCCCTTTGTGTGTCCTTCCACCATCATATGACCCACACCCCCCATGCGGGGGGGGTGCGTGCGTATCACATGGCCCTGTTCTGCCATCCGCTGTTACCCAATTGACTAGTATGTGCATGTACGAGAGGAATAAAGACGGACTTATAAAGGAGAATTGATTGATGATAATCATGAGGAGAAAGACGATTAATGTTCTCGCATTTGCTTGTATCGCTCAAGCTTTTCAAACACACACACACACACACACACACACACACACACACACACACACACACCCACACACACACACACACACAATGCCTCAGGACTGTTTGATTCTGGAAAGGAAGCGAAGCATCCAACTCTCCGGTCAATTGTAACAGAAAGGATGGAAATTAGGTTAATGCCTTTGGTCTGAGCGCGAGCAAAGAGACGTTCACTTGCAACACTGCCGAGTGTGCTTTTTAAAGAGAGACTCGTCTAATAAAACGAATCGACAAATAATTGCTGCCTGTTTTAAATGAAGTCGAGCACTTGTGGGCCGAAATGTCGACAGCGCATGATATATGTAAGATTGAATGTTGATTTTTGCCACGCGTCACATAAATGTGTCACGTTGAAAACTTGACTTCTGAGTGGGCGGGACCACGCAAACTGTGTTTCTCTTGATTGTGTCTCAAAGCAATTGAGGCAAAAGGGAATGTATAACTTGGCCGTCGAGGCGGCCCTGATTTAGTCTTCAAGCAACAAAGGTTGAATATCAACACTGGCATAGAAACAAACAGAATTACTTTTGCTTGTCCAGCTACACCCAACGAAATGTCCAGTCAGTGGAAAATAAGAATAATCTTTTGAGCCTGACTCTATTTCTGCAAATTGTCTCATCTCCCTTTTCCCGTCCGTGTCCTCAAGATCTTCTCGCTGGTGGTGTTCGCTTCCATCGTGAACGAGGGCTACGTCAACATAGGCAGCGAGCGTCTCTATTGCGTCTTCAACAAGAACGCCGACGCGTGCAACTACGGTGTGTTCGTGGGCCTGGTGGGCCTCCTGGCCTGCTCCTTCTTCTTGCTGCTCGACTACAAATTCTCTTCCATCAGCTCCGTCAAGGACCGCAAGAAGGCCGTCATGCTTGAGATCGGCTTCTCAGGTGAGGATGCGGCCAATTAAAAAAAAAATATATCGACTGATTAAATTGGCTGGCTGATTCAACGGTCCAGCTACAAATAAATAACTTTCAGATGCATCCAGCCTGACCCACGTCTTTGTTTCTGATCCATGAAACATCAGGAGATTTGACGACAACCTTTTTAGGTTTCAATGACGAAACACCAGCTGATGATGACACTCACACAACTGTGTGTTTCTCCCATGACAAAGCAGCCGTGTCTCTGTTTCTGGCAGGTTTTTGGGCCTTCTTGTACTTTGTAAGTTTCTGCTTCCTGGCCAACCAGTGGTCTCGAACAACCACGGCTGAGCTGCCCCTCAACCAGGGCGCTGACGCAGCTCGGGCTGCAATCGCCTTCTCTTTCTTCTCCATCATCACTTGGGTAAGAAATCGAACGCAAACAAAGGCGGCGATTTGCAACCACTCTCTGGTGCTCTGAGATACGAGTGACCCGAGTTGACTTGACTATGTCGGCAGTGAATTCAAGTCAAATCCGTACAATGGGATGAAAAAATATATATAAATATATCCGAAGGTTTCTGGCGATGTTGGAAATGATCGGAGGGATGGCGAAACCGGTTCCGGTGCGCTCCTTTCTAAGCGTGTCCATCCGATTGTGCTTCCAGGCCGGTCTTACAGTGCGCGCGGTGCAGAAGTACCTGCTGGGCACTGACATGACCCTGTTCACCTCAGAGCACTTGGACGGCGCAGCCCCCACCCAGCCGTTACCCTCCAACTCGCCGGGGGGAGGGGTCACCGCCGAGCCCACAGACACCTACCAAAACCCTCCGTTTACAGAGAACAACGCAGCACCCACATACCAGGTTCCCATTTATTAGAGATGATACGTAGAAAAAGATGAGGCGAGGGGAACTAAAATATAATTGCTCTCTGTCGCGGTCCGCTCGCAGTCACTGTGGGCTGATTTTCCAAAGGTGGTACAAAAAAAAAATCAAATCAAATCAAATTCAGCCGCTTTGTTTCCTCCTCTTGTTGTTTACGTGAACATTCCAGCTTGATCTGCACTTTTCTAGACTCACTGTCATGCAGATTAGGATAAAACTGATTCAAAAAAAAAAAGGAAAAGCAAACAAGAGGAGGAACCATAAATGAGGCCATTTTTGCTGTATTCACACCCAAAATCGGAGATCAACTCGTAAGCAGTATGACAAAAAGCACCTCCACTTGAAATCTAAACTATTCCCTCTCATGGCAAACTGTTCAGAGGAATGTTTTTATTCATTTCATGTTCTCCTCTTTTTGCTGCAGTTAAACGGTGATCATGTGTATTGAATCTGCATGTTTGCAAATGTAGAGATAGCAACTGAAGTGCCATACTGTACTGACAGTGACTTAACTGAGTAGATTTCCACATGCTGAACATCATCATCATCATCACAACGACAATGTTTTTTGTGACTAAGTGCAATATCTTTCATTCTCATGCAGATTGCTGTGTACTATACTGTACTGTGGTGTAAGTAGACTACTTTGTGGTGAATATAGAAAGTGAAACCATACCCTGGTCAAATATCTCGATGGCTTTTTGAAAAAAAAGATGTGACCTATCATCTGTACAAATGGGGAGCCCCTCCAAATTCGAATAATCAAAATGATTTTTAATGTAGATGTAAAGGTAGTAAATGATCTCTGTATCATGAGTTTTAATTTTTTGATATTCAAAATGATTGACACATACGAGTATCCTACCTGTGCATAGTCCCTGGAACAAAATATTTCATATTATTGTAAAGGTTATATGTCACATTCTTTTTTTGGGAAAAGTTCATTCACGTTGTCACAGGTGTGTTCGCTTTCTATACATTCATCATCAAACCACTGGTAGGCTCTGCCTCAAATGACACACTCTATTCAGCTTTGAATTGTACTACCAAAACTCAGGCAAATTTGACTTGTAGAATTTTGATTCCAATTCAAGCTTTAAACGAATATTTATTTTCGTCGTGCATGTTATGGTGAAATGCAACATATTCCTCCCTAATTGAGGTGGACTCCAGCCAAATGTACGTGTATCAATTTCTGTACCAGGGAATGTAGGTGGTGTGTCATTTGAGACGGCGCCCTAGGTCGAATCTTGTTTCGAGTGAGTAGGCAGATTCGTTTGTACGCCAGGTGTGTTTCTGTTTACGTTTTAGAAAGCTGCCAAACTGCCCTTTTGTTCTTATGAATCTTTTCTTCTTTTTGGAGACATTACTGCTGTCTGTTTACGGGGACTCGCGAGAAAGGGCGGGCAGAGGATGTCGTGTGGTCACACGCCAAAACTATAAATCTCCTTTGGGGTTCTGTTGCCATGGTGAGAGGGAGGGAGGAGGGCCGCCAAGGTGCAAGCGTGACAGTCGTGTGTATGCTTGAGCGTGCGGATGCGTTAAACATGTTGTTGCGTTAAAATTATTTTCAAGAACAAGGTTTAGCACCGAGGAAGGACGTTGCTATACTAATTAATAGATCTATTATACCAAATCCGTTTGATTATTTTCAAATCCGTTTGATTATTTTCTTCGCGCTTCAGACTTGCCTGTGCTGAATTTGCACCAGCGCCCTCCGCTGGACAGAACTGGTATGACCGCAGAGGGACAACTAACGCTGTCTTTTAAAAAGTAATCATCATAGGAAAATGCATGATAGTATTGTATGAAACTAACACTGTAAAGATTCCACAGCCACGAATGCAGCTGACAGCGTCCTCTACTGTTTCACACATTTTACTAATGATTATCATACTTCCAATGCATATGAACGCGCTACATCCCCCCCAAAACTTGCATGATGCTGCTGTGTAAACTTCGGACTGTTCTTCAGTGTTTCATTTCCTGTGAGGCTCTGGGACGATAATGGGCCTTAGAGTCTTTGAGTGGCACAGTCTGCTGACCCTTTATTCAATTTCAACATCGCTAATGTCACAATCACATCAATTGAGTCCCAATGAAAGCAAACAATTTATCCAACCGTGTGAGTCTTTGTCACTTAAATTAAGACCCACATGGGGAGAAAATCAAATTCAAAGGCAATGTAGAAGCAGTAGAGCAATGTCAAGTGAGGCTGATGGTCGGGTCAGGTTGTATTGTTCTCTTTTTCTGTCAGTCAGTGTGGTAGACAAAAAAAAAAAAATTAAGTCCAACATTTTCTGTGTTTTGTGCTCTGGCCCATGTACACTGCTGTGTGTTGGTTGATTGTACAATTCAGTATGTTATTTAAATAATTGGAACATGTATGTGATGATGTCCAAGGTCTGGTTTGTCCTGTACTCCTTTTCAAGAAAAAAAATCTCTCTCTATACAGTATATATACAGTATATACATGACAAATAATTATGAACAAAAGTGCGCTCTTGTTCAGAAATACTTTCAGCACTTCTAAATGGGCCATGGACACAAAAATTTAAGTCTGTGATCATGCTGTAGTTTCGTTGGACTGAGATATAATACAAGTGATTTGTAGTAACGCTGGTGCTGTTAATTGTGAGGGTTCCAGTATAATTCTTTGCATGGATGTTAAAATTTTTCCTCCGTCAGATTGGTGATGGAAATCAAAAGCCCATCAACTAACAAGTGAGTTTTCATTTTTGCGTGCTGCCTTTACGAAATGCCTTGAGTTCTTCCCCCCCCCTTCTTGTTTTGACGGTGTTTTGACTTCTGTGTAACAAAAAAAAAAAAAAAAGAGGAAAAGGAAAACGCTGTGTACAGACATGTGTCACTCGTTCATGAGTGTCTCTGGACTGCAGTCTGAGCATCACTCCCAATTAAAAAAAAAAAAAGACATGATTGCCTGTTTCTTTCCGTGAGTCAAATTAAGTTGGAGCATAAACGGTAATAGCGTATATTGACCAGCCACAACACTTATGCAGTATAGTGATAACCAATACATGATATGCATCCAGAGAACGAAAAAAATAAAAATACCTCGGGGACTCAACGAATATTAGAATTAAGGTTAAAGAAAAACATTCAGGAACATGCATCCAACCGAAATGGCTTTATTGGAGCCCGACAGAAAATCGAAACAGCAGCAGCAGCTGCATGATGTAAAGACAAAAATTACAAGTGGTTTGTCATGAAATTAGTCATGTTTGATACACAGCACTGCAAGCTGAAGGTCCTGAGAGAAGAGTGCCAACGCAAGTGTTGAAATATACATTTTGTTTAAAACTAGGGGGCTGAAATACAAATGTGCTACTCTTAACCTTTGTGAGGTGAATTAAACCTGCTTTTTCAAAACTAAGTGTATAATTTAAACAGAAAATAAGCAAACAGAACACACTGTTCATTTGAGTGGGGTTCTATTTAAATCAAATAAATTGGGTCCAATGTTTTAATCAGTCATCAAGTAAGTTAAAGGAAGAGTTTGCAATTTAAGAAAAAAAAAAGAGCTTCATTTGAGTGGGGTTCTATTTAAATCAAATAAATCGGGTCCAATGTTTTAATCAGTCCTCAAGTAAGTTGAAGGAAGAGTTTGCAATTTAAAAAAAAAAAAAAGAGTAAACAGAAAACACTTTTCACCATATTTGTTAAGACAGTTAATACAACCTGACAGTAGTACCTGATAAATACAGTAGTAGCTGTGGAATATAATTAGCAGTTATTGCCCCCGTGTTGTCTTTGAGGAAAAATAATCAGTCAGAAGGTGTGACTTATGTCAATCTTTAGTCGTACACTTGCTGTCATCGTTGCGGCGACAACCCCAGGGCCATACCAAACGCACACTCAATCACAAATAAATAAGGTGCTTTTATGCGGTAACAAATCACCCTGGGGTGGTGGGAGTATTTCCGCTACGAGTGTGTCTGTGACGATGCGACAAATAATTGAAACCTCATGAGTCAACTCCACTCTCTCTCTCTCTCTCTCTCTCTGGTTGTTTTTTCCTCGGGCGCAGTGGTTTCTTATCTGGCAGATAATGGAGCCAGAGACACCTTATTTATCATGTAGTACTGTCACCTCTTAAAAAAATATATATATATATATATATAATTTTTTTTTTCAAAATTGCAAACTCCTCCATTAGTTTGAACCGATGTAAATGAAAAAAAAAAGACATTTGTTCTATTTTTGCATACAGTCACAACTCAATGGAGCTCAACAGCTACATTAACACAATGAGCTAGATAATTTAGTTTGGAACTGCTTTTATTTTTGAACCAGGCATCCTGACTTGATACTGAAATAGGATCAACTGTCATGTTAACCAAAAGAAACGTGTCATTCTTGAGCCTGGGGGGGTCTTTTCAGGAGCAAAGGGCTTCTTCAAGTAAGCTCATCAGGTTGCGTCTTCCGTCGTCTTGAAATCATATTGCACATATTTCAGTTGGAACGCGACTTCAGACGACATTTGAACTGTTACATGTTTGAACGTCGTGTTCATCAGGAACCACGTTGTCCCCCTTTCGAGCAGTGAGCCACCGCGGCCGTCTTCCATGCTGGCAGCTGTCGATGAGAGTCATCAACAGAGTACTTAATGGCACCGCGGGGCTAGCTGATAATTCGGCTAATGGACTGCAAGGAAGGGAACTCGTCGTCGTCCCGCATGTGCAGCGTCTTGTGGGAGTTGAAATCCTTCGGGGCTAGCACCTGTCTGCACGTGGGGCACACCTGGCAGTCCAGCTCGACGGCGTTGGCGTTACCGTTAGCCTGCGTGCTATGCGTCTGCCATGCGTTTTTCTTGTTCTTGCTTTTCCTTCCTCCACCGCCTCCTCCCGTTCCCGACTGTTTCTCCAGAGCCTTGCAGTCTCCGTGCGCCGTCAGGAGCTCCTGCTGCTTGACGGTGTCTGGCAGCAGGACCAGCAGCTCGTTGAAGATGCGGTTGAAGTCTTCACCCAGCAAGTCCTTGCAGCTGCGGTGATACTGGGCTGCAGATAGGACACCCTGGAAACATATGGAGAGTGTCAAGATATGCTTAAAGGTTAAAAGCAGATAACAAGTCAAACGGATGGCATCATTTGAATTACAGAGGAGAGTATCACAATTCATTCGGTAAAACTGCTGTTCTGATTTAGATTTTGGACCTGAAGTTGTTTTGCTTCACTTGCGCAAGAGAAAAAGCACGTGCGAGAGTTGGATGTGCTCATCGAAATTTAAAATCCGAATCAAAACAGGAAAATCAGAAATCACGATGTTGAGGTTTAATTCAGGCCATTTAATTCAGGATTTATTCAGAGTAACATGATAAAAAAGAACCCCTGAACTGGCTTTTGAACATTCTGAACAGTCACACAAGTATAAGTAAATAAATACATTACCGCCTTTAATAGGGCTTTTGAACATTCTGAACAGTCACACAAGTATAAGAAAAGTAAATAAATACATTACCGCCTTTAATAGTAATACAAAAATAAGAAAATGTGTACTCACCCTTAAGTTTGATGACAACAAAGGGGCAAGTATGAGGAAATGCCGCGGAATGAGTCACTGCCATAAAAAATGTTCATCTCATTCTTCATTTATTACTAACGACGACCATGTCGTTAGTCACAATGCAGATGCATCGTTTTCGCGCTTTGCATTTAAGTGGCAGTTTTCAGTATGCTCCTTTGAGTTGACTTGCACATTGGTTGCACAATTAAAACGCATTCGATTTTAACACGTCACTGTCGGGCAGAAACTGAACAATGTCCCCATGTGTTCAGTTGCATCTTTTTTTTTTCCATAAATCCACTGTGTGGGTGTGTTATTTTTACAAATTGCATGTTGAATATTGCTCGCTTCCTTGGACGGTGCAATGTTAATGGCTCAAGAAAAATGCCGTTTGCTTGGTTTGCTGAAAAGTGATGGTTTGGGAGATGCGAGGGTTCCACCTAACACCAATGATAATATCTTATGATTTTCAAGGTAAAGAGGGGAAAAGCACACCAGGTAACCCACATTTAACTCCCTTTTTTTTTTCAGTGTACCAACCGCACTTTAAGACTTTCCTGGAAAATTCAGTGTACACATTTGTAAGTACCTGTCTGAATTGTGCCGAATAGTTCTTGAACCGATTGAACTTGGACTCGTCATCATGGAGGTACTTTCTAATGGACTGGATCAGCTCCAGGTTTCTTTGATGGAAGTCCTCGGGAACCAGGTAATCACAATTCGATGTTTTCGGCAGGCTGTCGGAGGGAAATAAAGCACAAGTGTAAGGCAGCTAAAAATGAAGATGTGACGAGACCTAAAATGCCTTACAGGTTAACTGCCAAAGGAGGGCTCTCCACCACATTACTGTTGAGGGGGATCCCAGTGAAGCCCGGAGGGGGCTTGGTGGCCAAAAGTCCCAGGCCGGGCGGCGGCGGGGGCATTGACGAGGATGGGGCAGGAGCGGATGACTTTGTTGGGAAGGAGGTCTTGAAGCCTGCGTGACACAATGTCAAGTGTTACTCGAGGCCGCGAGACCGAAGACACCGAGACTGACCATAACACAGCGGCTTTTAAGATCTCAATTTCCTACTGATAGATATTCTCATACAGGGGAGGTTGGGAGTGTTCGAGATGAGGAACCGGCACTGGCCTTGTACAGTCATGATATAATAAGTTACGGTTCAATGATTATTTCACGTTGAATGTCTTTCAGGCTTTAAGAAAACATCACTTCAGTATAGTTACTTTTTGGCATGGTGAGAATTTTTTTTGGGGTGGGGCAGTATAAAATCGAAGTAAATATTTAACATTTTCTGGGATTTGTATCTTGTCCTTCCTTGTGGAAAGATTAAACCTTTAACATGTGGCAGCACTGTTTAAAAAAATCTCACACACACACACACACACACACACACACACACACACACACACACACCGATACCTGGAGGTGGCTTCTTCGACTTGAGGGCGGGGAAGTCTTCCTCTTGTTGGACAAATGCATCAGAGTTGGTTTGTGGCGAAGCCGTGACCGTCTCCTTACTAATGGCTGGTTTCTCTTTGAAGCCATTCACCAATCGGCTCGGTGCCGTCGCCGCCGTAGCACTGGAGGGCTTGGACCTGTTTTTTTCAGGAACATTCTCCTTTTGAGCCGTCGTTTCCACCGAAAGCGTCTTTGAGGGCCCCGGCGTCCCTGATTCTGAGTGAGAAGGAGAAGCCGTGTTCTTTTGTTTTTTCTTTTTGCTGGCTTTAGCGGTAGGGAGGTCAGCGCCAGGCGCTGAGGTGGGTGCGCTGCTGTTCGCAGTGAAAGCTTTGTCGCCACTTCCTTTAACTGTAAGCAGAGATGATATGTCAAGCATGGTGGGCACCGAGCGGAACTGCTGCTGCGTCATTCCGCCACTCTCGTCGTCGGAGGAAGGAGGCGAGCATACGGGAGCGACTTTTAAATTCTCCCCGACTTTCTTTTTTCTCCTTGACAATGAGGAGGAGCTTGAGGAGGTCAAGAGTTGGGGGCCGGGGGATGCTGAGGAGAGTTGAGGGGGAGGCCTGGAAGAAGGAGCGGGGTGAGCTTTGGGCTGAGCCGGAACAGCGTGAGTGGACCACGCAGAGTTCTTGCCCGTTGCGGATTTGGGGGGCCGAATTTTGGACACAAGAGCGGGGAAATCCTCCTCTTGAAAAGAAGACTTCTTTGGTTGGGCGGGATAAGACGGCGTCATGGGGGCTGCGACATTAATTACTGACAGGCTGGGGAAGTCGTCTTCCTTAAGGGTCCTGGGAGCTGAGGGAACCACCGGTGAAGAGGACTTCACACTGTACACAGGAAAACATTTGAAGCCGTTTCGATTTGTGAGGGTGACGTTTGTGCTGTGTTGTGTTATGTTATGTTATATTACATTGCAGGTGGTGCAGCAGCTCCCAATACCGGAAAGTCATCCTCCTCCTCCATTGGATTTAAACTCCTCATTGTCCTTACTGCAAAAAGGTTGCAATCAAAGAATTACAGCTGCTGCTGGTGATGCGTATCAATAGTGCCGCCTCATCTCTCTGCCTGTCAATATACCATTTCTAAGGACAGATGAATGGAGTATGACCTCAACTTCCGATACTACTACTACCCAGGCATCGGTGCTACTCTGTGAATAAATAAAGCAGATTATGCTGTTGACCTGGAGGTTTGCTTGTTGGTTTGATTGGCCCTGTCCTGGGATTTGGCTCTTCCGATTGGGGTCTGTCGGTCCTCTCCTCACGATAATATTTGGGAGCGCTCCTCTCCAGCGCGGCCAGTCGATCGTCTTGTCTATGAATTGCCATCGACGCCCGCATAGCGGCTGCCACCTCTCTGTCCTCTTCCTCACTGCAGACAAGCGTGTGACAAAACAACCCCCATGAATGACTGGAATTTGGCCCGACAGCAACAAATCGGCAAAAACAATTCAGGTCGCTTATGCATCAGTTTCACCGCATCAGAGTGGGACAATCCACTCTTATGAACACACCTCCCGCCTAGTTAAGACTCACCGAGAGTACCGCCAGCTCTTCTGTCCCACCTGAGGTCTTCCTCTTCCTGCTCGGTGGTGACGAGCCTCCTCATAATCTTCCCCGGTGACCATGCCTGATAGAAACAAAAAACTCCCGTTTGACTTCACACACTATCAATAGATGCGTTGCAGAGTCAGACCTTCATTTCTCCTCTGTTGTCTTGGAGCCAAGTTGAACTGCAGGTCGATGTGGCGGTTTTGGCGGGCCTCTGCACGACTCTTGCTGTGCGCCGACGCCTTGTGTGCCTTGTAGTCGATTTCGGTGCGGAATGCATGGGTGAACTGCTCTGTGGCGCAGAGGCCCTCCTCACAAAGATAGTGACATTCTCTGAAGTGCTCGCTCAAGTACTGGTAATCACTGTTAAGGCAAGAGTTCGGAGGACAAAGCTTATCGCAACGACTTGCAGGACTTTAGTCACAAAACAAGTGATTATAAATTTGCTCATTTCAATGCCAGGTGGCCCGTGTGCTATCACACCTATAATATTCTTGAGAGCCGTCAGCATCGCAGAAGTGGCAGAAGTAGTGGTCCTTTCTCAAGTGTTTGAGCAGCTCGTCGTTGTCGAGGTAGCGGTCGTCGCAGAATTTACACAGCGGGTGTCCCCTGTGACTGGTGTCATCTGGGTCGCCGTGAGCTCGATGGCGTGCGAGTTCTTTACGGTTGTACCACTTCCGCTCATGGGAAAAGATCTGGGGGTGGAAAGTATTGGATTGATTGACAGCTTAAACAAACATTTTGTTGCAATTGAGCACAATCTCATTTATTTCTTCATTTGCCAAATTGATTTTTAAACAAAATATAGCATGTTTGGTACAAAAGAAAGGTGCATCTTGTTAAGTTTGAGAACAGCCCCTTCTCCTAATCAGCTTAATTATCACCCTACCTTCAGATGCTTTGTGCAGAGCTTGCAACAGAAGAGCTCATGTTGCTTCCTCATGTGCTGCTCCAGCTCCACAAACTTGGAGAAGATCTTAGGTTCAGCACAGCAGGGACATTGTGACAACAGCAGGTGCCTGAGTAAACACAGAGATAGACATAAACCACCGCTTAAACTGATGTCCGATGGGGGGAAAAAAAAACGTCTTCACTTAAAAGGAAGGGAGCCGCATTGGCAGTACACATCATCAGCAGCCTAAAAGAACAAAAGTTACCTGTACTGAGCATGGATCTTCTCATCGCCAAAATAGATGTCATTCTTTTTGTCACAGGGGAACTGCTGATGTGGCAGAGAAGAAAATGCCTCCGCAGACTTCACAAACACCACCTGAGAACAATATGAAGGACATTTAACATTAACTTTTGAAGTTTTTTTTTTTTTTTTTTTACTGATATGAAAAAGACTGACACAATTGTTTCCGATGCTGTTCCTGAAAATGCCACTCAACTACAGACCTTGTGTAGCAAGTTCACCTTCATGAAGACCCCCCACTCCCCCTGAATCTGTTAAAAGGACTACAGAGCTACGTTGATTTTATGTAATGCTACGGTGTATGTGTAACGTAGAGTTCTGGATTCAAAGTAAAGTGGAATCTTACACTGGAGTTGATAGCAAGCGTTATAGTAACGGATGTAAGGATGGTCGTTTTGGTATGATATTGTCCAGCTGGGGTTTAAAGTCCGAGCAGGAAAGATCGGAATGACAAGTAGATTATCCATTAACATACAAACCAGTCAGGTATGTTCGTTAGAAAGCGAACACTATTTATGCATATAAGATACACGAGCAGAGATTGAGCTGTCGGTGTCAGTCGCTCTTATCATAAAAGAAGGCAGTTTGGCTAGTGGTGTCGCCTTGAACGCACCACAAGTGGCTAGTAGCTACCAGGCTAACAACATGAATGACTTTTGACTGTTGTCCACGTAGGCTAAGTATTATTCTTCCGCCATGATGGATCTGATACCAGACTAGTTTTTTTTGTCATTATTTTTAAACGTTGGTTTTTAAATATTCACTCGCAGGATGTCGCGGCCTGGCTAGCGTGGCCAAGCGTCATCCTCGGGCTACAGTAGTGTCGAAATCCGCACCTTGTCCAGCTCCTCGCGGCAGACGGCGCAGTACTTCTGCTCGCATAGCACTCTCATTTTGGTGGAGCAGCGATAACACACCGGGTGGTCACATTTTCCGAAGGCGAAGATGTCGATATCTTGGCAGCACAGAACACAGTGCTTTTCCGTTTCCTTGGGGTTTGTGGAATCCATGTTCGAGTAAAAATGAAGGGGAAAATTGCCTAATGAGTCCAGCCGTTGACACTGTCGTGCTTACGTAATTGTGAAAGTTTAATGACGTAACACGCAACGCTTTCCTTTTGATCTGTATGTCATGTGGATGAAGTGTTAGCCGCCCACAGGCCTGGTGCTTTGCGCTAGCATGTTATGTGTGAATCTGCGCACGCTATTCCACGTGGGAGACAACATGCGGACTGCGCCTTCATCCGGGTTTGAGTAATACGCCTTTATACAACTGGTCAAACAAATATGACGTAGCTGCTCTGAATTTAATTCATTTTAATCAATTTGATTCCGTAGAAAACAAAATGGATACCATTCTTAAAAAGTTAAACATTTATGTAATTTATTTATTGATTGGGATGCAATTTTTTTTCTTTTTTACAGACACAGTGCTTTTCCGTTTCCTTGGGGTTTGTGGAATCCATGTTCGAGTAAAAATGAAGGGGAAAATTGCCTAATGAGTCCAGCCGTTGACACTGTCGTGCTTACGTAATTGTGAAAGTTTAATGACGTAACACGCAACGCTTTCCTTTTGATCTGTATGTCATGTGGATGAAGTGTTAGCCGCCCACAGGCCTGGTGCTTTGCGCTAGCATGTTATGTGTGAATCTGCGCACGCTATTCCACGTGGGAGACAACATGCGGACTGCGCCTTCATCCGGGTTTGAGTAATACGCCTTTATACAACTGGTCAAACAAATATGACGTAGCTGCTCTGAATTTAATTCATTTTAATCAATTTGATTCCGTAGAAAACAAAATGGATACCATTCTTAAAAAGTTAAACATTTATGTAATTTATTTAAAATATTGATTGGGATGCAATTCTTTTTCTTTTTTACACGCCAATTGCAGTCAGCTCACCTGTGACATGATCCATGCTAAAAAGCTCATCTCGTCAGTGGACACCAGAATGCTCTGTAGACACCCCCCCTAAAAATCCCCAGTTCTTTTATCAATGTTGCAATTCTTCACAGCTTTTTCATGTGCCACAGCACATACACAACATTTTGTCTAACTTTGGCTTTAGAGAAGTCACATTTGCTCTGCAAGTTTTGCCACCTAATGCTGCCATATTTCAGGGAATATGCTACAAGACCATCATTGATTATCTTCCATCTACATTCAGAGAAAATTTGTCATTTCTGTTAGTTTATGGATCTGATTTGCAAATTAAATGAGTGCATTTTTGGTCATCGTAACTTCCAATAATGTGATCTATGACAGGGTGGTTACAATCGTGCCTCGGTGCACAAGTACTGTGTGAAGGAGCCGGAGTCCAAGGCATCTTCCTATCGAGAGTGTTTGTGGTGACTGCTTAATCCCATGACTCTGAAGGTGCAACTGGCAATCTTCTCATAGAGAAGAAACATGAGGGCCGCAGTCAGCACCGTCTGCAACAACTTGGCCTCCAGGCCTTTAAACAGACCCAACATGCCAAATTTCCTAGGGGAGAAGACATTACTTAAATTGTAAAAAAAAAATAATAATAATCAGTCTCTTGTAAAACAAGTCTTTCTGCACACACCAACCCGGAGATGCATGCATGATTATACAAGACCAGTCTAACATGGATGTCATCTATTAATTGTGTTATTTGAAATACATACTGCATATTATAACGAGACATTTTCAGATGAAGTCAATTGTGCACCCACCTCACTCTGTTGACAAGGAGACACCTGATTGTCATGAGACCGGACATCAGCGTTGACTTGCTCGTTGACTTGTTGAACTGACCAAACTGTGGAAATATAAATAAATAAACAGAAATTTGTCACGAGAATCCAGGATCTTCATATTTGTAATTAGCAGAAACAAAATGTAATGGGGACCATAATAAGGACAATAAAGTGGAAACCAATGTGATGATGAGATTTCCAAGTGATGGGATATTTCAACACTTTAAATGTGTTTTTCTTTCTGGATAAAATTTCAATTGCTGCAAACTGCACAAAAGGGATTAATATCGGGCTGACCTGCATCCACATTGTAAACTTCATTCAAAGTTCAAAATGAACTTGGTATGTGACGTATTCGCTTGTCTTTGACTTTTCGTCACTCCATTTTGCTCTGTTCGGGAGGCCAAACCAAACTGAAAACCGGAGAAATGTGTGAAAAAAGCAGGGAGACATGCAGAAGACCTACCCTGAGAACGGACTGTATAGTCTGCAGTGGGTAAGTCACAGTGGTGGCAACAGCTTTGGCCACTGCACCGATCATGAAAACCTCAAATGCTGCAAGCTGAGCGGGAACGGGGGGAAAAAAATGGAGTGAACATACAACATATGCAACAGGTTCGCTCTAAATACATCACATCCCCAGTTTCCAAAAGAGTGTGCACACTTGTGCCACCTAATTATCTCAGTTTATTTAGTCCCCCCCTCCACCCCCGATAAAAAAAATACAAATGTTATTGTGTAAAACATAGGTCACATTGGTGGCTGAAAAAGATTTGAAATGATTTATCTTGGTCTTGTTTTTTTTCTTTCGCAGAAATCTGGCATTTGTACAGGTGTGTCTTTTTATACCCATACTATAAATATTTGCCTGACTAAAGTGTGGCGTTGATTATGCAGATTTGCACCGAGCCGAACACATTTATTTCTCACGCTTGGTTTGTGCTTTGATCATAGAAGATGTGACTGCGCCGCTGAATTAAAAGGGATTTGCCACACACGACAGTAGTTTTGATCAGACGCGCTTCCGACATTCCCCTAGACGTTTGCTTAATCCTCAAAAGAATCATCTGATCTGAATTAGCAAGGCTCAATGGGCGCATCGTCACAATGAACTCCGTTTGTGCTTTCACGTCTTGCGTGGCAATGCTTTTATGGAGCATTTGTAATTGAGACGACCACACTCCGCAGCAGAAATCGATTGCACGTGAAAGCATTTTTCCAGAAGTAGTGAGGCAGGCGGCTGTGTTGGAGTGAACCTTGTTCCTCACCTCTCTGGTAACTCCATTCCTCAGTTGCCTCTTCAGACCTTCATAAATCACGAACTGGATGGCGGGGTTAAGGACCAGCAGTAGCGAGGGAAAGGTGCCGCTCCACAGTGCCCAGACGCCCTCATCACGGCTGATCTGGCCGAGTGCATCTGCCAAAACGTCAGTGAAAATCAATCGCAACCGTAGAATGGAGAATAAATAGCGAGACGGGACATGATCAGATTACCCCAAATACCGCGGTAATTAGTGGGTTGAATATCTGTGTTGTGAAACTTGGAGCCCTGAAGCTTCAGACGCGTGTTGACAACCCACAGCGGAGCGGTTACGAGTACATTTATAACACCTGAAGGAGACAAAGAAGAAATGAAATGCGTTCCCTTGTTACAAGATAATTGTGTTGTTGTTCCAGATCCCAATATCTATCAAGTCAAAAATTAGATGTTTAGCAGCTCTTGCGATGGAATGCTCCACACTGCATACAGCGTAACTTTCTCTATGTTCTCCGCCATGAAGTTCAGCTTTACGAGTGTCGTCAGATATCATAGGAAAGGAAAACAGTCACATTCACCTTGTGCCACTGCCATTTTTCACAGAGGCCACAATTTGTGTAATACGTATTAAGTTTTGGAATAGATGTCTTAAAGATTGCCGATAATAACCAATTTTATCTGATTACAAAACAGAGCCTGTTACCTGCAACTATCCCAACCAGCAAGTCAGTGCGAGGAGCTGACTGACGTCCCTTCAGCCAGCTCGCCTTCAGGCTGTGAAAGCAGTAGAAGTAGACAAAATTGGAGCAGCAGAGGCTGCAAATGACAGGGAACCAACCCCTGTATGGAGCCAGCCTGCAGAAAGAGGCACAAAGCACACAAATACGGGATATTTGCAGCGTGTGAATCTTTCATGGCAATGGACAAGGTCATTAATATTCTGTGACATATGTATAGAATAACTCACAAGCCTTCCTCCTTGATGATTTCAGCTAGAATGGCTGGAGTTGATGAGGCCCTCCTCTTCTCGTCCACTTCAAAACACACACACACACACACACACAAAACGTACGAATCAGTATAAAAACAACATTCACTATTTACACAAGACACTGATGCAGGTCAGACGTTCTTACCTTGAAGCCTCAGTCTGGCAGTATCCAGAGGGAAGAATACGGTCATGGCTGTGACACTCCCCTAAAACAAGTTACTATTAGTGGAAAGGAAAGCATCACGTCGCTCCAAATGGTCGGATTCTTATACATATTACATTAAAAAAATCCATACAGTCAACGTCTTTATTTAAATGTTGGAACTTGTACAAGCAAGCAAAGATGCCGGTCCGTAACCTCGTGTTATTACATTGTTAATAGTAAAATTAAACCCTAATTTCAACAAAAATATCAATTAAAATGCTTTGCGTAATGACGCTATTGAACATTTTTTTCGTATAGACTACTTTGGGTCAAGCTAACTTACCATTGCTCCGGACACAGCATGCACCAAAGCCTCAAACGACAAAATCTCAAAACTCATATTTATCAAATGATCAGCTACTTTCACAACAAAAAGAAAATAGAAATAAAACTAGGTTAACGCTTAAGTCTGATTTTAATCCGAAATCTAAACTAAAGCCAGTCTTCTGCACCTTACAGAGCTGCCGTTTTGTGTGGCTTTCAATGCCTGGTCTAGTCAAGTACAGACGCATTGTGGGTAATGTAGTGCCAAGTGACTGGAAGAACTCGCTGGAAAAACCGGGAAAAAACATCGGTTTTATTGACACGAAAAAATTAACATTGACAATGTGGTTGACTTTTAGTCAAAATTATCTTAATTCTGTATATACAACGAACTACCATTTTACTAGCATTTCAATGGAGAAAAAATATTTGGTGAGCAAGATACAGATATTTGGCTTATGTGTAATGTGAGCAAAGCTTCTCGTTTGTCATCATGCTAATAGGTAATTAAAAACCTTATGGTTTGTTTAATCTTGAGGGAATTTGGACTGGGTGTGGAAAATAAATGCTTGACATCGTTTAAATAAAACAAATACCGCGTATTTAATAATAATGAACAATATTATGAGACTCCAACCCATTCTCTGAGCCACTCCTTACACTGCTTCGTCTGCTCCTCACTCTCCTCTTTCCTGCTTTTGTTAACCCTATTTTCCTCCTTCTGTCTCGCTCGGTCTCTCTCCCTTTCCTTCCCTTGTCTCTGCTCGTCCATCCTGTGGTACAGCAGGGCGTCCACGGTGGCTTTCAGGGGTCGTAAGGAGTGCTGCGGAAGCCAATTTGGATCCACCGAGGGCAGAAAGGGGTCTCCCGCGCACACAAGCATGGGTTTAGGGTCCAGGGGGATGTGGAGGAGGTGGGCGTGAAGCATCATGCGGAAGGGGCCATCATCGGTTCCTGAGCTGTAGGTGAAGTCCCCGACGATGGGGTGGCCTATAGCACTGCAGTGGACCCTTAACTGGTGTGTCCGACCTGGTGCACACAAAGGTATTATTTATAAAGCACCATTGGCAAGTGCATTACAAGCTTTACTAAGTTCACTCAGTGTCATCAGGCCAACAGGGAGCTTTGCACTTTACCTGTAAAAGGCTGCAGCAGCACCTTGGTGACAGGTTCACCATCATATAAGCCGTACTCCAACACTGTCAACGCAGTCTGGCATGGTTTGGAATTCTCACAACCTGACAGGAGACAGACAAGCAAATATTTCGAGAATACATGGATGCTGTCCTGTATTTCCTCTATTTGATATATTTTCTGTAGACAGACATACAGAAAGTAGTGACATCTAGTGGACAGGATACGGTGTGGTGTCTGCAGCAAAATGTGTTTCATCTTCTCAGCTTGACCATTATTTTTATTTGTCTCGACAACCCATTAAATTGCCTGCTATTTTGCACTGTTTAAATAATGATAATGTTAAGGAAACATTATGATTCTCGTGTTGCTAAAGTCTATGGTTGATATGTTTTTTAAAAAAAATCCCCAGTATGGGACTAAAAAAAGGCTTTTCTGCTCTATTTCCAGTTTTTTAAGACTGTTAAGGACCAGTATCAAGCAGCAGTACTAAGATAAATTTACTCCATTATCTTCTACATGTATGCATCTTCCAATCATACCGTCTGTTCCCTCAACACACATCATATGTGTTTTTCCCTCTGAAGTGTTCTTGCCAATGGAAAAATCAAGGTTTTGTATCTCTTCTTCCACCAATCCGCGGACCTGCAAACAATGAGATGCATACAAACATACATAGAGACACCCATACAAAATGTGATGTTAAAGTGTATTTTATTGCGTACATACAAGAGCGAGGTAGGCTTTGGTGACAGTGCGCTCCTTGAAACAGCGATATGCCAGGCCAGCTGCAGCCTTATTGAGTGCCACACATAAGGCACCGCTGGTTGAGAAATCCAACTGGTGACAGAACCTGGCGTGAAGAGAGGGAGAGGAAAATATTGATTAGCAACCATTTCAATCTGGTTGCAGCTCTTTTATGGTTACTGTCAACGCAGTCTGGCATGGTTTGGAATTCTCACAACCTGACAGGAGACAGACAAGCAAATATTTCGAGAATACATGGATGCTGTCCTGTATTTCCTCTATTTGATATATTTTCTGTAGACAGACATACAGAAAGTAGTGACATCTAGTGGACAGGATACGGTGTGGTGTCGGCAGCAAAATGTGTTTCATCTTCTAAGCTTGACCATTATTTTTATTTCTCTCTACAACCCATTAAATTGCCTGTTGATAATGATAATGTTAAGGAAACATTATCATTCTTGTGTTGCTAAAGTCTATGGTTGATATGTTTTAAAAAAAAATCCCCAGTCTGGGACTAAAAAAAGGCTTTTCTGCTCTATTTCCTTAGTTTTTAAGACTGTTAAGGATTAGTATCAAGCAGCAGTATTTAGATAAATTTTCTCCATTATCTTCTACATGTATGCATCTTCCAATCATACCGTCTGTTCCCTCAACACACATCATATGTGTTTTTCCCTCTGAAGTGTTCTTGCCAATGGAAAAATCAAGGTTTTGTATCTCTTCTTCCACCAATCCGCGGACCTGCAAACAATGAGATGCATACAAACATACATAGAGACACCCATACAAAATGTGATGTTAAAGTGTATTTTATTGCGTACATACAAGAGCGAGGTAGGCTTTGGTGACAGTGCGCTCCTTGAAACAGCGATATGCCAGGCCAGCTGCAGCCTTATTGAGTGCCACACATAAGGCACCGCTGGTTGAGAAATCCAACTGGTGACAGAACCTGGCGTGAAGAGAGGGAGAGGATAATATTGATTAGCAACCATTTCAATCTGATTGCAGCTCTTTTATGGTTACAATGAGGCTGCTTTTACATTCGGAATGATTTACCTGAATCCATAGTAGGTGTTGGGGTCTGCTAGATGAGGGAAGCGGTGGCGAAGTTGGGCCTGCACCGTGTTTTTTTCATACCACATCTTACTATCAATGCGGATGTCCCAGTGCTTGTCCACCACGATGTAATCATCACTCTGAAAGAGCACACGAAGTCTCTCCACACTGGCCGGCTCCATTGGGTGTCACAGAACACACCTTGCAAACACATCGCTTTATTAGAATAACTGTATTGACCCATGTACAGTTGACACATTACCCACTATTGACTCGTTATTCTTATTTTTGTGTTGTAAATACGCACAAACTGCAGTTAAGATATTTGGCGATTTTTTTCTCTTGTTCCTGTGACACTGCTTTTTACTTTTCTGCTGCAGAATTCCCTCTTGCAACACAAAGAAACACGTATTGTGTTTCATGAGGATCACCGCATTGTAGGTTTGCATGCCTGCCACGCAGTTGAGTGGTTCTGGGTTCGAACCTCAGCTAAAGAATCCCTTTCAAATTTACATGGAATAGATCCCAAATTAATGCCATTCCTAAGACTCGTATTTACTGTTTTATTGTGTCAAAGTGCCGACTGGTAGAAGAACAGTTAAAAACAAATCCTGCCAATGGAAATGACTCTACCACTCAATACTAAGCATTCAACACCAGAATTAATTGGTAGCAAGTATGAGCTAACACCATGCGCTTAACGAACACCGAATATGTTTTATAGACTCAACACCGCGCGTTTATTAATTCCAGACACATACTGAAGAAAATATTTTTTCCATACATACCAAACTTGAAATTCTCATCTCATGTTGTTGTAGTGACGACGATGGCGATTGTGCTTCCGCTTGTGACTCGAACGCTGACGTGAACGAGCGTTGGAGCGCCATCTACCGTACCGGAGACTAAATGCCGCACGGTTTCAATAAAACCGCTTTAATTCTGTCCAGGAAATAAAAACGAAGATAATGACGCTCAATTTTGATATAATAAATAAATTGGAATATGCTCCAGTTCACATATGACCCTCGTCAACACAAGCACTATAGAAAATGCAAAGTAGCTGCTGGTTATTACTTCAGTGAGGGTAACTAATCTTCCTCCTAACTTGTTCAACCACACACAGGTGAATATGAAACATTCCCTGGTCCCAAGGGCATTACGATTATTGAATGTGCTTAATCTGTCTGTGTGGTGTGAGTAAATAGTGTGCCTTGTCAGGCACCAATTGATTACCACGTCCATAATCCCTCACCTCAACCTCACCCCTGACAGCAGTCAACAGCTCGGATGAAACTCCTGATGTGGTGTTAGGTTTTGTTTTGTTTTTTCTTTCACACTCTTCAACTCCTTCAACCACAGAACAAATGTTTATTATTTATAATGGACAGCAGATAAAATACTCGCACAGGTTCCCTCCCCTCTTCTATTTTCATCTAATGTCAATGTTACCATTTTTAGAGGGCATATTGTTCTGAATCTTCCAGAAGATAATCTCCTCACGCCATATGATGGTGCCGATCAAGAATTATTTCGCACCATATGCGTGTGTGTCTACTTGTACACGTTGCATAACACCTCAGAGGAAATTACTGCAATAAACTGGATGGTAACTTGGGACACACGCACAGACATAGTGGTGCACGTGAGAGCATAAAAACAGTAGCAATCGCTTAGTGAGATGACACTGACACAGAGAGGAGGTCCTCACTGATGTTCAAGATGATCCTTGCCAAATATGCTTCTACATTTTTCTACAGATTTCTGCTTGTGAAGAGACCCTAACAGGAACATTTTCTTTTTTTTTGTTTTTTTTTTTACTGGTTCACCTGGATTTCACTGACTTCCATCCGGCTCACTTTAACTTGCTCAACTTGCTTTTTCTCGTAGCATGCATAACAAGTCCTTCCTGCAGGCTCGCTGCGAGGAGCCCATCATGACATCAGACTGGGGCCTCCTGCTGCTGCTGGCTCTGCTGCTGCTCGCCTTAGTCTACGCTTTCCTCTATCTGCCTGCCGTAGCCCACCGTGCCCTTCTGGAGCAGGCCATCCGCAGCAACAACACCGGCGTGCTCACGTCGCCTGAAAAGGAGGACTGGCTCTCTGAAGAGTAGCGTTTGAAGGAGATGTTTGTTCTGGAAGTTCCTTGGGGCAATTGCTATGCAGTGAGTCGATCTCAAGCATGTTTATGTGAGGCTGCCCCCTTTGACACAGTACCGGTTGTGTTTTTAATTTGGTGGGGCACCAACTACGTAAATTAATAGCGGGGAAAAGTCAGGAGTGTCTTGTTGTCTGCCTTTTGATTGCTTCCAACATCTGATTCATGATAAAACTGCAATACGAGTTGAACTATCTGCCTTGGCACACAAACACACGTGCCGCCCCCACCCCCCAAAAAAAAGAAATAAAATTGACAAACAGGACAGAATTAAACACTGAACAAAAAAACAAATGATACACTTTTGTTTTGGGTCGCATTTTTCATGAGCTGAACTCAAAGACATTTTTCTGCGTGTACTTTTCGTGATGTTCCTTCATTTGTATGTGTTGGTAAAAATAGCACACGAATTGGGTGTTTTGCCGTCAATCCTTGAATGCAGGTTTTAAAAAGGTCCTTAGAGTCTCGGTTCTTTTCAATTGCCTTTATTAAAAGATAACAGCGTACAAGATTTGACACCAATATTGAACATTTCAGTGATCCATACACAATTCCGTTGACCGCTGCTGTTCAGCTTGCCCTGCTTTCAAGACGATCCATCTGAAGAGCGCACCATCTCCGTAGTCAGCCTCGACATCCGGAGATGCCACAGCGTTGTTCTTGTTGTTGTTTTTTTTTACTTTACAATTGAGTTGTATAAAAACAAAGAGATACTCTCTTATTAAACCATGCAACACCAAACAAGCTGACGTTTACAATTATTCTTCAATTACAACAAGTTGAATGAATTCATAGTTCATGACGTTCATCAATAACGACAATATCCTGTCTAACGCACGAGTCTGGCGATGACTAAATCACACCTGAATGGATGTTTCCTATACAGTACATCTCAAAAAAAAATGGTCTCCATACTCACCAATGTCAGGCAGACGAGCGGAATCAAATCAGAACGAGTCGCTTCTTATTTTGACGTTACGGAGTGCCGCCACTGTCATCTTCAACTACAATATCATGAATAATATATTGGATTGTTAAATTCAGACCTCTATGTGATGTGAGCTGAGATTTTTGGGGGCAAGGGGGCGGGGCAAAAGCTGAATTTTGGATACAGCGCTCGCATTGGATGTGATCTGATAACGCCGGTGGGCTTAACATTGTGGCTCATGTTTACGTTCACAGCAAACGTATTCGCATCTCACGTCCTAGACCGCCCTCGCGATGCATTTGCCGCCTTGACATTAATGTGAGTGTGAGCTAAGTATCAAATCCTAAACATGCATTTCTTTCTACACTATACACAGTCCAACTGGTGGAAGTCTTTCTACGGCCCCAAAAAAGTTTTCACAAAGTCCTGAAGGAACCGCTGCTTTCGAAGCGAAGCGTGTTGCAAAAAGTGGACATTATGACGATAGCGCTTCCCGAAATGTTCCTCCTTCGGGAAGATCATGAAGCGGTTCCCATCATGTGCGAGTTCAAGGTTTGTACTCACTTATATTAAATAGGTTTCGGAAGAATAATGACCTTTAATTCTGGCAGCTAATTGTAAAATGACTTCATATTTCAGCACACACGTTGAGACAGAGGTTATTGTGCGAGTCTCTGCCTTTTGTTTTTTTTTTCCATTTCTTTTGGATGCCATTAAATGTGAATGTGGTGTCTTGTGCTGCACCTGGATGCACCGATTTGCAAAATTGATGACATAATAATCGAAACAGACCACACAGGCCACGGAAAACAAGCGCAACAATAGCATCTCTTCATTTTTCCACAGATTTTCTCTTTTTGCTTGCGGCTTCTTCGCATCCGCGGTTGCTGAGTGACGTTATTTGATGGGAAGTGGGGGGTCGAATGGCTTCCCGAAGCCTTACGATATGGATATTACACAATGTTTTTTTTCAAATGCGAGACAAAGGGAGAGGAGAGGAGCTACACTTCTCTGAACGTCCCCGTTTGTGTTTTTAAGAGAATTGCGTACGTCAGATGCGGCTAAGGGGAGGAGACAAGCGTCCCGTCTTAACAAAGACGCTCTTTGTGGGGGGACAAGAGAAAAAGAGACTTTCTTCAAGAAAGGGAGGAGAGCGGACGAGTGAGAAAATGAGGCAGTTAGGAGAAGCGGAACACCTCTAGTCATCCAAGTCCTTCTTGATCTCGAGGTTCCAGTCCCAAGCGGAGTAGGCGTTCTTGTCGTCGTCGGTGAAGTGGGACTCGATTTGGTAGAGGCCGCGCGACACCAAGCCTTGAGGCGTCTCATCAGTCGGGAACACAAACTCGTGTTCCTTCTCACGAGGACAGTAACTGCCCATCATGTAGGACACCTTGTCCACTGCGGGCACAAAGGGAGGGTGTGGACAATTCAGACAAACGGCCGATTCGAACAAATTCCGCATTCATCAAATCATATATCCCGTTAACCCTTTCGGGGACAGCGGTTACTACAGTGGACAGCTGATGATGTTATCAGGTCACGGGGTGCATGAAAGGGTTAAGCACCCCGTGAAGTGAATTCGGAGATTTGTTGCAAAATATCGTACAGGCAGATTTTGAGTTCGTGCAACGGCAAACTGATGACTTACTTTTTAATCCTTTTCTGAAACTCACATGGTGGTACTTCAAGCCAGCGACAATTTCTTTGTTCACCTGCAATGACACACACACACACACACACGCGCGCACACACACACACACACACACACACACACACACACACACACACACACACACACACACACACACACACACACACACACACACACACACACACTTTCAAATGAACAATAATTATAGTCGAATCGTCATCAACTTCTGGAAATTGCTTTTGTGTTCAGACTACAATGAATAAATTGTACTGTAGTCCCTGATTTTGAGCACTGGATGAATATTTCTCGATCAAATCTTTTGGGGATTTTTGTGATCGTTCCCATGAGGGTGTTTTGTTTTGCTTTTTAGAATTGTGTTGTAACTGCTCCGACGGTTGATAGGTTCCACACCCCTGATTGAATGCAGCACAATGTGGAGAGTCAAGAGGATGCATACACAAGAGCAAAAACTATTCAGAAAAGCACTTGAATCTATCCAAAGGAGGCTTTATATTGCTCGGGTACATATTACACGCTTCTACAATAAACACCATCTCTGAGAAAAAAAAAAATGTGACTGCGGCAGTTCAACTGAATGTTTCAGAATGTTGATATTATTGGCATTGAGCTCAAGAAAATTGTTAGCCGCCCCCGCCGCCCTTCAACTCCCCATCACATAAAATTGTTTTATTGCCTTTTTTTTTTTTTTCACTGGAATGAAATGAAGCTGCTGTAGGACAGCGAGATCCGACGAGGTGTCAACACGGTTGCGCAGCTATAGGTGCTTGCGTTCAAGAGCACAACATAAGCTACACGGAGGCTGACCTTTAGCGCTCAAGCGTGGCTCTCCTCTTACCTTAAAGTGTATTTTGAGCCTGTATTTGACTCCTTCCTTCAGAGTGAATGTCTTCTCCTTCGGGCTGTGAACGTCTCCTGGACAAACACATGATGACCTCAGCTGTGAAAGCGCAGAGACTGGGAAAGAGGAGTGACGTCATAGTCGTGACCACATGCTGGTGAGTCACCGCGTGATCACATGAGCCCAAGAGTGACCGAGCTTGACTGAGTAGCCCAGCCGTACTTTAGGTCCACCGCTCAATTGCAATACATTTATTATCATGACCAGGCCTAATTTCTGTTCCTGTTGTGAGGCAGGGGTTACCTTAAGGCATAGGTGTCAAAGTCAAGGCCCGGGGGCCAGATCCGGCCCCCCACGTCATTTTATGTGGCCCGCAGGAGCAAATCATGTGTGTCAACTTTCATGATTCTTGCTGAAATCTGTTCCGAAATGTCAAATTGTAATAAATAACATTGAGATTTTGCACCGGCCCTCCGAGGGAAGCCGTAACTCCGAAATGGCCCACCCCTGCCTTAAGGTGACCAGACGTCCTCTTTTGCCCGGACAGGTCCACTTTTTTTTAAACCGTCTCTGGGCGTCCGGGAGGGTTTTATACATTTATGAAAATGTCCATCTTGAAATGGTTCTCATGGGACCAATTAGCATGTGTTTAATTTTACTGAGGGAATTCCTGTTTTTGGGTGCGTGTGTATGTTTACATGCATGCTTTTTGGAGCGGTAAACTGTGAACCCTCGAAGTTTGATGGATGGCGAGTTTATAGTCATACATGCTATCTACTGATGTGTAGATTTGTTATTTACTACAACAGCCAGACAGACCTCTCTTTTCTTCTGTATTTAAAAAAAAAAAAAAAAAAATGTGAACTTTGTTTCACTGTGTGCTTGAATGGCTTTGTGCCGAAGGAGAGGAGAGGTCTTAAAAGCAATCCGAAATGGACTCACTGCTTAATCCTTTTATATCTCAATTTAAATCGGAGCCTTGGTCTTGAGTGCTTCCTAATGGACAGTGAAACAGGAAGTACGATAGCGGAATGAGCCTAATAAAAACAGCGGGGATGTGTTGGGAACACACGCACTGGCACACGAACGCACGCCCGCGCATCAGGCCAAACGTGCGAGGGCATTGCAGGTGATGGAGGCTTCCGCATGAAAAATAGATGTCCGTGTGACACGTTCAGGCATTTAAGTCAAACCATACATTCATTATTCTTCCACTATTTCGTGTTCGACCTCCTGAATCACTGCTCCAATAGTTCTCATCCCAAAGAATTAAATTATTCGACTATGAGACGAATTGTGGCACGTTTAGTCAAGCGCTACTCCTCCCCTCGACTCCCTCGCTCTCCATACATTTTTTTTTTCCTCCCGTGAGGCGCGGAGGAGAGAAAAGCTGCGGAGAAAATAGGTCACGCTGTCAAGCTGATCCCACAGACATATTGCGCGGAACATACACGTACACACCCGCGCATACTGCTCACGTGCACCTCATATTTGCAATACCGGCAAAGCTCGCACCCGAGTTTTTCCCATCCACACACAACAATTCCCAATAACTGGAGAACGTAGGCGTGCATGCTTGTTTTATGGTGCACATCATCAGACCCGCAATAACGCATGAATGTATTTGTGCGGAAATGAAGCGGCGGCCTCAAAATGGGGTTTTAACAGGAATGTGAGATGAGAAGAATACCGGGGGTCCTACACCTCAGTAAGCTGCTGTACTGTTAGTCGTTCTTCACAGAGGATAAAGAATATAAGGTTGTGTGTATTCTTGTATTATCTATTTACATGTTTGGTGCCTCCGATTGTGTTCAAAAATGTGTTGCCTTAAACATTGCGCCACCGCAAGACTGATTTGACTCAATAGTCCGTCGATGGTGTTTTGCATTGTTTGTTAGCATGAGGCTAATTGGACTTGTAGTTGTTTTAAAAACACAATGTGTAATTTTCTTTTTGCGTGATTAATTTGATTGTAGATTTCAAACAGGAGTGGGAATAAACAGATGGAAGAATTCTCCACGATGTGTCAAATTGTCACTTGCTGCAAAGTTGAGTTCGCACATTTTTTTTTTGCTCGTAGGCGAAAGCAAAAAAAAAAAATTCAAAATCTCCCCGTTTTCACACCGATACAAAAAAAATTCACGGCCATTCGGTTTGTTTGCACGATATTGCGCTGAGAGCGGCGGCTCTGTATCATTTCCATCCGGAGGGAGCAGCGCGTTTGTCTCCAGATTGAACAATTCAGCAAACATTACGTTCCACATGACAAGATGCACTTTTGGATGTGGCCATTTGCATGGCGGGAAAGCGTTTCATCCAAAGTTGTTACTGCTTTGCAAAGACAGGAAATGTGAATGCTAAAGTGCTATTGCAAGCAAATCCATACGCTTGCAGAGTGTATGAATACATGCATGAACCTCCCTAGCCGCTGCCTCCGCTTGTGCCCAAGGGAAAATGTCAATAATGCCCACTAAGCAAACATTTAGCCCTCTCACTTGTGCTCTCTGGCTGTGTCTCTCGCTCTCACTCTCCCTCCTTGTCTCTCTCTCTGTCTCTCTCGCTTCGGACACACCCAATGCAGACATTGCGCTCGTGAATGCAGCACAGCTTGGGCAGATGCCTTGCTCCGGGGCAGCCCAACGATTTGTGCGTTCATGTCGGCAGCGCAGAGTTAGCGGTCGAAAGTACTGAGGAAGCACTTGGCGCCGCGTGTACCTGTTAGGTTGATGGCGATCGCTCCAGGGGGCTCGTCAAATAACAGGGTGACTTTGGTCACTTGGACGTTTGGGCCTGAGAAATCTGCGGAATATCACATTTATTAAAAACAATATTTTCTTGATGTGCAATAAAAATGGAAAACGTGCTGACACGAATCCAACATGGACTGCGTGTGATGTTGTTGGGTTCCGTTCCGGTCTGTGTTGTTGTTCTCGTATCAGTTGTCAGCCTGGCTGAGTGATATGAGATGCTGCTGAGCAAGCAAGTGTGTGTGCGTGTGTGTGTGTGTGTGTGTGTGTGTGTGTGTAATCGGAACTCAATGACTTCAACTGCATCTATGCATGGGAGCTATTGCACTGATTGAATTCGAGTTGCAGTAACATGGCCACCGGCTTTCCTCGCACATGCACGCTGATCACACAGCGCACGCATCCACACACCTGCCATCATGGGTCGCGTCCCCAGCAGGGTCTGCTTGTATTTCACCAAACTCTCGTCATCTTTGTCCAGCTCCCGAATCTCCTGCAACGTCTTGTGAGCTGGCGGGTTGTAGTTGAGGTTCCTGTCATCTTCCTCCTCCTCTTCCAAAGGCAGTTCCCGCTTGTCCATCAGGAATCCTGTCGCAAAGGAGGAATGAGGACGAAGATCAGCACATGGTGTGAGTGAAATATTAAAACGTACGTGTCTGTAAAAGACTCATCGGAAAGGGCCCAGCCTAATCTTCACCCTCTGCTCAATTTGAATACCAACACCCACATTCTCCATTGCAACGCTTTCATCAACTTCTTCAATCTCAACATCCGCACAACTTTTGGGTGATCTTTTTTTTTTTTTTTTTTACAATCTACTGCCCCGCGTGACTCGAATACTCGACAGCAAATAATAAAACTCACCTCCTTCCTGATAATCAATCGTTTTGCAAAGTTTGTGAGGTCCATAATGGCATGTTTTGTTTATCACATATGTTGATGTCATGTATATGTTTGAAATGGATTTGATTAAACTTGTCAGGCGCTAAATGTGTCCCTTTTCCTTCAGTGCAACGCAATGCATACATCTTGATTTATAGATAAATAAATGACGTGCATTTCATTCTCAGCATTTCATAGGACTACGTCATATTTATAGGGAACATTTTTATGCATCCCTCATGAACAAGTTGGATATTGTGATGTTTTTTTTTGTTTCCTTTTACTGTTTCAGTGATTGTGCCATCATTAGTGTTTGCAAAACATTGCAACGCACTTCCTTGTGAGATTCTTGGCGAGTCTTGGCACCGAGAACCAATTTAGTCTCTTTTAGTGATCTTTTGCGCCCATAAAGTAGGAATAAATTCTCGCCTTTCATACGGCGCATGTGCCACAGGGGCTGAGGCAAGCCGCTGTTTACTCTGCTTTGTCAGTTGTAATGAGACTGTCATCGCACATCAGCTCACGATGGCGAGAGGTAATTGGAAGACAGGAAGTACACAAACAAGCGCATGCAGGCGCAAGGAAGGTGTGAAAGAATGCACGTGATGACTCTTGGAAAAAAAAACGCAGTCGACATATTCTCTCTCTCTCACGCGCGTGCATGTGTGGCCCTGCGCCGCTCGCTTACAGCAGCGCCACACCCAATTCTGAGCCAAACGCGCTCGCCTTTGTCCGTCACCGTGGCAACGCTTTCAACTCCCTTCGCGGTGACGTCATCGCTTTCCCTTTGCTTCTCCTCGGACGCTCTTGGCGACATTCATTTTCACTGGACGTAATAAAACATCCATCCAGGCAGCCATCATCTATTTCAACACCCAGTGTCATGTGCAGGGTCGCGAAGGGGGGCGGGGGGGTTGAGTGTGAGGGAAAGAGGGTGGGGGCGCACATCACCTGTCAGTCAAATGGATGAGACATAAAGATCCAAGATGATTGACATTTCCTGGTCGTGGTATCTGGAAACTGACTGAATTGCTGATTTCTGTCCAACGCTACACACTGGTTTGAATTTCATGAGCTTCGTTTAAGGCGGACAACTAGAATAAAAACCTAAATGCTGTCGGCTTTCTATTTTTGACAGAAACTGTCACTCATTTCAATGGATTTTATTTTTTTTAAACTGTGAGATCCAACAGACTTTGACAAACTTTGACAAATGGATATAAAAAGATATCACTCTGGCTTTGGTATCTCTCCATAGGGTAAACACAACCTAAAACACACGTTCAGGGATTTGAATCTCTCTCCGAATGACTGAAATAAATCGAATTTAATCATAACAATGTATGTGTTGAATTCCAGTTGGGTCCTCGAAGAAGAAAACCAATCAACATATACAAACGGTGAAAGCCAATTACATCATTAAATATTGTCGGAATTCAACTCAGTTATGAATGTAACAGAAAGGATTTGCCCACCAACATTTATGCCGTTCACTCGGACCTGAGGGTACACACACACACACCCTCTGCACAGTGAATGTGTCTGAGAGCCACGATCACAATGTTCTCCTCTTTGGTCTCCAGGCTGCTGACCTGGAACGCGGACTATCCCGCTTCTCATTTATTTTTAAAAAGCAGGCTTATACAGAAATCCCATCTGGTATGTTTTAACGTGGACTTATGAAGCTATTCACATATGTACAAATGCTTGCAAAATGGTCTTACGTGAAAATAAAAATCTATCAAATTGAAGTATTCATATCTTTGTGCAACCAGCTCATGAATTAGATCTCATCGGTCTGCATGTATACCAAACAAAGTGTCCAGTCAGTGGATGGTGAACTGTGGAAAGTGTCGCATTTGATTAATTTTTTACAACAACAAAAGATACACTTTGAAATGCACAGACAGAACTCCCGTATTAATTATTTAGGTGGAGATGTGGATTCCTATGCGTACATTCCAGGTGCAGAAAACAAATCTTTTTTTTTTTTTGAAGTTGTCATCGTTTGCACCCACGTGTATCGAAATGACTGTCCCAAACCGCAGCAACACAAGTCGCGTTAGCCAAGAAGGAGGCCCGCTTGGTTGCATGACAAATTAGGAAGACTGAGTGAGTGTTGCTGCCGGCTTTTTTAGTTAAATCAACATGTTGTGTAAAAATCAACAGAAGACTTTGGCAGGCAACAGATGGCTTCAGGCGGAGGAGACGAGCAGATGATGCTCACATGAGAAAGCCAAACGATGGAACACTATTTGCAAAGCCACACATTAAAAGTATCCACATTCATGTCCACATTTCCAATTCAAAAACAAATTTCCTCATTGGAAATAATATCATTTTTTCCCCAGACTAAATCTGTCACCATCATAAAAATATTCATGAAGTGTGCAGGCAATATTTTAATTAAAAATTTGAACTAATGGTGTCAAGTTAACCACAATAAGATGCACCGATAATGCAATAATGTAGTGTATCATGTTTTATAGGATCACATTTGCTTGGTTGAGTCACCTCTGGCCATTTGACTTGATTAATTGCACTGCTCATATTGTACTGAATAGCCAGAGCTGTTCTTCTGCAGAATTCTTTGTATTAATAATTATTATCAAGCTTCCCTTGACCATCCTTAGTACCCATCAGCGGTGGCATCAAACAATAATCCAAAGGAAAGCGCCAATTTAAAAAAAATAAAATTCATTGGATTCAGATTGAACTCAGATTGAACAGAAAATGAATATCTTACAGCAAATTGGGACATCGAAATTCGGTTCTCATTTTGCTAGCGCAAAATGTATTTCCCAACTGGTGTTTTGGTATGACTTTTTTTTTCCTCTCTCTCTACTTTCTAGTCCTTTGAGGCCCAGCGTCACGATTGTGTTCTAAAACCATCAAAAAAAAAGGCCCGTGGGACAAAACAGTGCATTCACATACAAACCGAAAAGACATAAAGAGAAACTCAAAGCTCCAAAAGAAACAGCAACCACTTTTTAGCGCTAAAATGCTCAGCTCGACCGGATATGACGTTAAAAAGAGTGGGTGTACTTCGCAGTCACGTGGCCTTCACCGAAACAACGCGACAACTAGTCCGCGATCGATCTGCTGAATGCCGGCGGCTACGTCAGCACTCCCAACTCGCCAGGCTCCGAATGACACACGACGAACACTCGCGTGTCATGAGTGACGTACCCCAGCCTCTTTTGTTTTATTACAGCAAACCTCAAAACACCGTCGCGCCGTTCGATACCCTTTTATTATTATGGCGCGCTTGTCGATACTGTTTACGAGCGGGGAGGAAATGCGGCGAGTTCTCACTTGGTGTTTAAATTTGTTTTTTTTTTCGCAGCGACACCTGTGCGAGACAAAGCCAGTGCCTGGGGACCGTGTCGTTAAAATGTTGAATCACGTGTTGAGTGAGTCCCTCGGGGTCTCGGAACCGCATCTGTGTGTTAATTTAACATTAAAAACGAGGAGTTGCTTTTGGATTTCACAGAAAGTCGGCAAATATTGTTGTGTGAATGAGCGACGGTGTGAAAGAAGGATTTAATGAGTCAATTGTGGAGGTGAGACTTTTTAATCCAAGAGATAAGAGGGAGTAAGAGAGGAAAATGAGGTCCCAAAAAAAATGATGGGAAATAAACGAGCGGGTGGGCATTGTTATGATGTAAAATGATTAAGGCAGGCGAAGAAGGGTGGGGCTCGGTGTGAGGAAAGACAGGTTGAAGAGGGATGGAAGGAACTTCGGACTGCTTGACTGGGAGAAATAACAGAAACTATCGAAGGCTTTTTCTTTTTTCTTTTTGCTGCATCACGATAGTTATAACCACCGAATGAAATGATCTGTGCTTCAGTCTCAAAAGTGCCGTCTTCAAAAGCATGTCTGAGGTTTTTACTGCAAGCTAATGGCTTTTAGTGGCTCCGTGCGGCCACACAAAGCCTTGCGGGCACACAGCTTTCAATGCAAACAGCAGTATGCAAAGACGTTTATAATAACTCTGGCAATACGATGACCCGTGGGTACAAGATGACAAGACTTTGGATATTACTGAAGCTAAAAAGGTGTGAATTTGACCAGGGTTAGTTTCCATTTACTGAACCTGTACAAATAAACTGTGCTACCCTGAATAAATGACGTTTGTTGAAGCAAAGTAAATGAAGCTGGAACCATCCATTCATTTTTTTTCAGCGTACATCCATTTTCTATCACCACTTGTCCTTATTCGGGTCACAAGTGAACTGAGGCCTATCCCAAGCGACTTTGGGTGTCTGACTAGAACAGATTGGTTGTAGAAATTGTAATATTTCCAGTGAATGTTATTTGCGGTTGACTTGACATAACACACGACTCACCAAGTGCTACCCAGCAAAACCCAACACAAGTCATGCGACAGATTATTCAAATTGTGTCACTTCTGACGACGAGTTGAGTTTTCTCATGAAAGGGCTGAGCTCTCTCTCTGTAGTGTCACATTCTCTCGACATCCAGAGGACTTTATTCACTCTCCCCGTTCTTAAGAGCCTTTTGTCTTCATCTGTCATAAACCTCAAAGTCCCCGCACATACACCTGTGTGCGGGGAAACCCCCGGAACCTTCCGCCATCTGTCACTTGTTCAGCACTACTGCAGAGAGGCCATCAAACACACACAGGCACGCACACAAACACACTCAGAGCGGCTTCAGAAGTTGGTGACATCATTTGTGTGGTGGATACGCTATGTCATCAGATGTGTGCACACACACATACACACGCACACAAAGAATTATTCTCGCGCATGAAAGAATATCCCTTTGGAAGTAAGAAAGCAACTCCCCACATGAAAACGATTCAAGGTTGTGTGAAGTGAAGAAACATGAATCTGGCTGTATGAGCAGAACCATAATGATGCGGGGGAGACACACACACACACACATATATGCACGTACACACATGTGATCAATAGCTATTGATTTGCTATCTCTGGCTTGTCTTGGCAGCGTTTCATGTCGGACATAAAAATGTCCACGCCCGCCACGATTGAGACATATGGCGCGCGTGCACGCTCACGCGCGCACAAACTCACACCGAGAGCATTTCTGCACTCCCTTTAAGCAGGCACACGCACGTGCTAAACGGCAAATAAAACATCATTCTCGAGTTGACTTGAACACATCATCATACATCTTCTTGGATCAGTCAAGTTTGTACTGTGCTAGTTAAAGAGAGGACATACACTCACACACTTCCATGACCTCACCTCTGTAGCACATAGTTAGCCACAGCAGCTCCAGCACCTGACCCCCAAACTCACACGCGTCCAATCGCAGCATGCTGCCTCCGTGCCGGGCTGCGCCCAACGTGCCAACTGGGTAGGGAAGAACTGGAGAAGCGGGGAACCTCCACAGGTAGCCGACCCCGCAAAAAAGTAGAGCATCCACTGAAGTGCTGGAAGGAAAAGAACTGGGTCAGGCGTGCATTTTCCACCTCGGAGTCAAATACAACAAAAGAGAGGAGGGGGGCCAGGAAGGGGTGGGGGGGATTTTGGCAGGAAAGCGGATTGATGTTGGAGGGAGAGAGAGGCAGAGGAGGTTATCCTTGGGTGTGGATGTGATGGGGATGTGTGGGAGAGAGAGAGAGAGAGAGAGAGAGAGAGAGAGAGAATGGTGTAAGCAAGGAGGGTGAGGGAGCTTTCCACACTTCTTCCCACCGCTTCTTTCCTTGTGTGTGGCTCAGTGACCAAAAAAAAAAAAAAAAAAAAAGAGAAAGACAGCCCAAATCAAAAGTGCAAGATCCTATTTAGCGTGTCCGCAGCATGGCTGTCTGCAGTGTTTTAGTGCGAGTGTGATACTCAGACGCCGGCTATCGATTCGTCGCTGTGCCGCCAATGTCATGCCCACACACACACACACACACACACACCTCTTTACACCTCATTCCCTCTCACGCACTCGTGCGTTCTTTGACTTGCCTCTCCATATTTTATTATCACGCGAGGTGTCCTCTCCATCCGTCCAGCCATTTGTCACCCCGTCATGGCGGTCTTTTTTTTTTCATCCCACATCTTCTCTATCTCCCTTGGGGTGACCACACCCTGGTGCACCCACAACTCTTTACTCATCCTCCTATTTTCGTCCTCAAAAATCGTGGGGGGGGGTAGGGGGGGTTACCTCTGACACTAGGCAATCGAACATTATTCTTTTGTCTCTTGTTAAGCAGAGACTAGGAGAGTGGCTTTTCCCAAATGTGCATATAGAGAAGCAAAATGGATAGGCGACTATATTTAATACCGGGAAACAGAAGCCAGATGGGATTCAAATTTATGTTGTTAAAAAAAGAAAGGGGAAAAAAAAGCAATTCAGGGTGATGAATGAGGTTGTTGGGGAGGTTGAGATAAAAAGAAGGAAAAAAATGACAAAGACATTAGGAAGTGTGAGAAACTAGTGAGCTGAATACAAATTCTAGCGACTACAATTTGGTATCATTTTGTTTCTACTCTTTGAACAACAAAATAAAATAAAGAAGCCAAATACCAAGGAATTTCCAAATTCAAATTCAATCCCTTCTGTGATGCTGGCTGATTTAACTGTTGTTCTTATTTCAAAACATTCAAGAATGCTTAAAAGGGAAGTCAAATTCAAAAACTGCCTTTACAAGAATATGTTGCAGGTGGCTCTGCTAAAGTCCAACATGCAGCCCATCCTGCATTCCTCCACCAAATTCTGTTAAAAAGCATTCTGCGGAATTGAGGTGATCCTGCTTTCTCTTTATCGGGATGGCGCGCGCCCTGTGTAAAACAACAACACCGCTGACAACGAAAATCCTAGTTAGTGGTCGAGATACAACAGCACTGTGAAGTGCAGAGCAAACATAAACCAAACTGAAGACGAGGGCAGATTCCACCAATGAAAGTGTCGCCTTAAAACCACTATGTGCTAAACCAATATCTTAAAATGGTTAACGACAACAAAAATAAATGTGATAGAACAGTCTCACTCTATCAATCGGCCTGTCCGTGGCAGCAGTGAGTCTCTCTCCTGTCTGTCTTAAAGCGAGCGGGGCATAAAACTATTATATTCCCATTGCTTTATGGAAATATAAATCAGAGGCAGCAGTGGTCCCAGGTGGGGGGCCCATCTATAAAAATGTATGCCTGAACTCAGCAGCCTGCATGGTGTCATAAAGAGTGTGTCAGTGTAAAGGCCCCTGGGGCTTAACTGTGCATTATCACAATTTTCTTCATCAAACGGGACAAAACTGTTAAAGTACCAACACGGGGCAAAATCCCGTATAGGTTGTAACATGAAAATAAAAGGTAAATATCCAACTAAAGGAGTCTATCGTATGTGAAAGACTTCACAGGGGAAATATGCCGACACAGGCCAAGCGGAATGAACCGTACATATTCCATCCATCCATTTTCAACACCGCTTGTGGTTATTTAAGCTCATGGTTGAGCTAAAGAGATGCTCACCAGTCATTGCAGGACGCTTAGACAAACAACTATTGGCGTTGTACTGAGATTTTCAAGGTTCAGTCAGTCCAACATGCAGGGTTTTGAAATTTGGGTAAAAGCTGGAAAACTGAACATGTTCAGCAAGCTAATTTAAGCTAGTAAAATAGCACCAAAAATAAAAAGCTGAGTTAAGACCGCCTGGTATTGATTACTTACTAAGTCAGTTGTACTGCATATCAATACCAAGTGGCCTTAGCTCAGCTTTTTATTTTTGGTGCTATTTTACAAGCTAAATTGGCAAGCTGGACATGTTTGGTCATAAGATCCAAAAATGTTTTCAGTAGGGTTAACAAAGCCAATCAGGTACCTCAGGGCATTAAAGACTTCATTGTTTAAAAAAATATTCGTACTATCAAGAACATTTCTTTGATAGTACATGTATTAACTTTATGTAAATATTTGGGCATTTTGATTGCAAGACAAGGGCTGGTCATTTTTGGCTGATTGTACTCTTTCCAATGAAGCAAATGTAAGCAGAGGAGTACACACCTGTTGGCAGTTCCACACTTAAAAGGAAAATATACTTTTATTTTATCTTTCGATAAGTATGGATATGGTGCTTGATGAAATGTTCACGATCTCTCCTCGATCCTTTCGTAGTCTACGACCCTACCCAAATCAAAGCAAAGAGTAAATCTTGGCTGACATCTTGTGGAGACTTCGGTTAGCGATAAAGTGAGAAAGCATTGTACAGTACATACCACGCCTTGTTCAGAACCGTGTTGGATGCCAGTTCGCCTGCTTCATGGCTCTTCCGGGAAGTTTGTGGAGATTTGCCAATGTCACCATGACGGAATGTGCGGGGTTTAGCACTTAAAAGCATCAAACAAATGTGCTCGCAGCTTTTGAGTAGCTGCTCGCTGTGTCAATATCATTCACAACGCTGTAGTCCACAGACCACGTGAGACCAATTACACTGTTACCGAAAAGTAGCGATTTAAGTGCATTGTCTGGAGCAATACACAGGAAGGCTGTGAAGTTTAAATGCCATGAAAAAAATGGCACCCATGGCAGCCTGAATGAGGCGAACCAATTCAGAGAGGCCTGGATTTAGTTTACAAGTGTGTCGCTGATGGTAGTCACTAGTCAGTGGTACCCTCGCCTGGCTTGCGTGCAAATAGTGTGTGATTTGTTCCCACTCAGTGAGAGTGTGGACGTGGGTGTGAATGGTTGTTCGTCTCTATGTGTGCCCTGCGACTGGCTGGCGAGTAGTTCAGGGTGTAGTCTGCCTTCCGCCCTAAACCAGCTAGTGCGGGCTCCAGCCCAGCCTCCCTGTTTGGGATAAGCTGTATTGAAATTGATGGATAGTTTACAATTGTTGTGCATTAAACAAATCATTGACAATATATCATGTTGTTTATTTCACAAATCTAATCCAGTAGATATAAAATAGAGCACGGGCTTCAAATTTAACACGGATAACTGTACAGCACAAAAGTGACACAAAGCACAAAAATGAAGGTAACAGAGCAGAGTATGAAAAGACAGACAATATTTACTGAGTAGGATAAAAATTAAAAATATGAATTTTTGAGTTTTGCATGGTATCAATGGGTAATGATTGCTTGGGTTATAAACTATGCTTACATTCATATCACAGTTCCTGGGTCACACATTAGTTTTCAGTAGTAGCCACAGTGCAAACATCTTTTGGTGATTAAAAAAAAATCTATAATACATCGTAGATCTTTTTTTTCCCCCTGACAGTATTCTTGTGAGAGAAGCAGACGAATTGGTGAAGGGCGTACCAGACCTAGAGTAAAGACTGCATCACAAGCAGCCAGAAAAAGGTAACTAATCAGTTACTTCATTTTTGTTTTTAAAACACACTTGACAAGTTGTATGAAACCCAAATCTTCTGTCTCTCTCATGCATTTTCCGTAAAAACTAAAACAAGGAATAAATAACATAATTCTTTCAGCGCAAAACAACAGAACATAGCGAATGGAGGAAAAAAACATGAAATGAAAAACCTTTGAGTACCGTTTTACTGTGGAATTGTAACATCTAAAATCAATGCAGTACACAAAAGCATTGGGTTTAAATTATTCAACTCTACTTAGTTTGCAAAACAACAACTTCATCATCATCATCATCATCATCATGACTTCACTACAGATTTACCGCCTGTCAAGATGTGCAAAGATTTTCCTTGAAACAAAATCAACCCTCAGGGGTGAAAACAAATTCTGGTGATCCAGGGTAGTGTGAGATTGTTCGAGACAACAACGCGTGTGTGTAGAGAAAGTCACTGTATGATTTTCACTCGGTGTGGCAAAGACACACGGGCTCTTTGGTGATCAAGCCCTTGCCTGCAGGTGTGTTTGGTTGTCATGGTAATCCTCTTTGACCATCACGTTAGGCACTTGTCATCGATGGGCTATGGGGATGCTTTATGGCACGTTTTTTTTTTTGCATGCATTTTTTTGTGCGTGTATAACACTATGTCTGAGCCAGCTGAAGCTCCTCCAGTCCATGTTTGCCCAGGTGATATCTAGCCAAGTCTTTCCTGGTCACTAATCCAACGACCTGCAGGTTACAGAGAACAAGCGGCTCAGGCAATCAGAATCTCAAATATTAACATCGACATGGACACGTTTACCAAGGGCAAAAATAAAAAAACACAATAAAAACACATAATAAGGAATAAGAAAGAGCGCATTCGGTCGAGTGCAAACCTCCAAGGCCAAACAATAATGCCAGAGGGCAGTAAATTCCTCCCTCCCTGCTTCATGGCTGGTGTGTAAAACTTTAGATGCTTGTAAAAAAATATTCTCCTATGTTAAAAAGTAAATAAATAAATAACCACTAAACCCAGTCGCAAATTTCAACTGGCGTTAAATTGACAGGACAATGTTACATTCCAGTCCCATAGGTGGCAGTAGAGTGCTTTGCATTGTTGTGGACACCTGCTTAAAAAAAGGGATTAAGAATCAGCATCGTTATTTATTGTGGCTTGTTTTATAAGAGTTTCAGACTTCACACCCGACATTGGTACTGATGTCACTATGCATGTAATTTTCTAAATATAGCCTCCTCATGCATATAAACACATTCAGTATCCTTACATTTTGCGCTTATAAATTGTGGCAACTCCCCATGCTTACCCTGTTTTCATCATCCACCACAACAAGGTGCCTGAGGCCCAGTGCCCTGACCAGCTTAAACACACGAGGAAGAGACGTTTCCTGCAAACAAATCATCACTCTGAATCTCACTGCACTCGTTTCGTCCAAGTGGCAGACTCCAGACAGACACGCCACACGATATGCGCCGATGGGTATTACCTGAGGGACAGTGTAGGGCGTCGGGTTCATGAACTCGGAGAGGTCCATCAAACACTCTCGCTCATCCTGGGAGACGTGGATGCTTTGGATAGGGGGGAAACGCGGGTAGGCGTCCCTGAAGTCCTTCAACTGGAGCTTCCTCTGGGTCAGCCGCGACCGCGCCAGCTCCACAAACACCTGCGAAAACACAAAAGGCGGACTAGCGACGATGGATTGAACATAACGCTGATGCCTGTGAAAATACACCCCGTCGAATAAACGGGCCACCTCGCCGTCTCCACGCCACTGACCTTGTGCTTGAGAAGAACGATGAGCTGTGAGCGAAGGATGAGTCCACAGAGCTTTGCTGGCTGAACGGAAGGAAAGCATCAAAGGGATTCATTTTGAGGGCCGGCAGCCACACTGGAAATATTTGGATTCTTTGTGACACGTTTTAATTCAAGCCCAATTGTCACATTTGACGAGCTTTATGAAGCACATTCAAAGACCAAGAACAACCGAGAAGCCCTCATACCTCTTCACCAGAATCACTTTGGGACACCACCACGGGGAAACCGTTGTGATTGGTCGATGTGTTGCTGAGGATGTCAACGATGGTTCCCACCTTCTCTACCTTGTTCAGACAGGTGACGGAAGAACTCATCACTTCTCTGAAGAAAAATGACAACATTCAGATTAGATTATTTAGCACCGTGAAACTGGTGTGGTTATCTCCAGTATGCTAAGAGGATTTTTACCTCGCTGTTAGCCAGTGTGAGGTGGCAGGAGCTTCCCAATGCAGGAAGGGAATGCTCTGCAGCTTTATGTGGATGTCATACAGTCCCTGACAGAAAAAGGCGGAATAATATTTTCATATCTGCGTTTGAGAAATAGTTTTGTCTATAAGATGTAATTGTGCCATTTTGTTTTCATTCCAACAGCATTTATACAATCGGTCGCCACACTGACTTGACAACTGCACCAAGAAAACTTTTTAAACAAAGCCAAGTGAGGCTAAGACCGCGCGTACCTCCACAAAGTAGTCTCCTACGATCTTGGCCGTCATCAAGACGAGCATGATGGGAAGTCCGTATGTGACGTTTCCCGTGGCCTCCACCATGATGACAGTCAAACTGAGGGTCATCCTAACGATGCCACCTGGACACACAAGGCTACTTGGTGAAGAGTCTTGCGCCTTAGGCATTGACAGAAGATCAAGCAAAACCGGTGAGTGTCGTTGTCCATTAGCTGTGAAATGTACCCACCTAACTGAGCCGCGGCTCCAATCAAGGCATATTTACCAGGATCGGCCCAGATCTAAAAAAAAAAAACACATTCCTGTTATAATTAGGGTCCTATTTTTCTGCAACTACATATTTGCGCAACTACGAACCATTTGAAATGTGAAGAAAAAGGTGTGGCTTTACGAGTGAATATTTAACAGTCACCGCAGAACAAGACGTCCTTTCTCGGTGCACACGTACCGATCCGGTGGCCGAGATGGCAGAGAGTAGAATTCCGCACAGTCTTCCCCAGGCTGCTCCAATAAGCAGAGATGGGATGAAGACTCCAGCGGACACAGTGAGGCCATACGTCCAACATGCCAGGAAGAAGTACGTGAGTGTGAACAAGCCCAGCGTCAGAGGATTGTACGATCCTTTAGGAGGGACGGGAATATTCAACATTCTTTTTTTTTTTTCTCCTTCACATATTGGTCATATGCATTGGCTTGAGGCACTTTGAGCAAATATGCCTTAGGAACAGCGATCACAACAATTTACCTGGCTGGTTGTGGAAAAGGCTCCGGACGCTTCTCTCTGGAGTGTTGAAGAAGGCTGTTGCCATGGAGTTATACTCCCCGTCGGCACAGAACAGCTGCAGGCAGGTGCAGAAAATATGAGAAGACAAAGAGGAAGATACAGCTTTTCACAATCCGAGCTTCAATTGCTCTTAAAACACAGTCGCTTTGTCATTTATCGCTATGAATCGCAATTGTTCGCTGGTTAGTTTTTTTTCTTTTAATATCCCCTTAACATGCAGATGAAAAGCAAAAACATTTATTCATAAATGGATATCTTGTAACTCATCTTCCTGAGTCAGATGTCAATTTTAGGTGATCTAACAGACTACTCTGTGACCTAATTTAGTCCGAATAACAAAAAGGAAGTGGTGCTGCATCTCCGTCAGCACGACGATTTAATTTCCTGCATGAGGCAAAAGCACCGTTTTTGGATTTAACAACGATCATCCGCAGAATGCTGAATTCTGCACAGGCGTTCACCTGCAGAGGGTACTCCTCCGTGTGCTCGGGGCCAAGAGGTTGACAGTCGTCGGAGAAGTAAATCATGGTGAACGACACCGTCGCGGTCACCGCCGCGACCAGCATAGCCTCCATCACTTGCAGACAAGGCCGATGGACGTACCTGATGACACACGCAAGATCAGGCTGTGGTTTCACACATCCATATTTGGATGCTAGTGTGTTACCACCAGCAAAATGTTTATACGACAAACATGCACTCAAAGCCAGGGTTCCGTACTTCCATAAAATGAATCAAAGATGATGACGAAGTGTGACGTGTCATGAGTATAAAAAGATTACACTCGAAGTACAGTAATTGTGCACTCTTTTTGCCAAGGATTGGGACTTGGTATCGCAAACTAAAAACTCGGGTGGCAACAAAGTGTGATCGGGACATCCCTAGTGTCAAGTGTTTGCTGACTTCCATTTCACATGAGTTTGAATGTGATTGAAGAAATCCCCTCACATCCCGAGTGATCAAACCTGTTCTGACATTGGACTATTTTTATACTTCAGTCACATGATTCCAGGTGATGTGCGCGCAAACAACAAGAGTGTACCCTGCACGGGCACATATTTTTTATTGTTGCTTCCAGACATAAAACAATAACACGTGCGTCATCGACTAATGCGACGACACCGTTCAAGTGGTTACCTTATCCTGAAGATGGTCAGCCAGTAGTTGAGAATGTTGAACAGAGCTCCTAGAAGTCCACCTGCATGGGAAAATTTCACAGTGAAAAAATACTGAAAAGACATTTCTTTTGTACTCCACACGGGAACCAAACTGATTGTTGAGACGACGCATGCAGAAAGAATCACATCACGTTACCTATAGCACCCATGGCAATGAACAAGGGAATTTCATAGAGGTAATACGCCACGCTCTGTGAAAGGAAGACAATTATATGTCGTCATTCATACAGATTGATAGAAAAATAAATAAATAAAAATCTGTGTTCATGGCGTTTTGGCAATTCAGGTGCTTACGTCATTCTCAAATCGTCCAAAGTTGATGAGACCAGGGTTGGAAAGGTCACCTGGGTTGTTGTGGTAGATACTGAGGAAGAAGTTCAGGGTGAAGGTGGAGATCATTGATGCAAAGAACTGCGGGTGAAAAGGAAAGATGTTACACGGGCAAAGATTTAAAAAAAAAAAAAAAGGAATTATTGGGTATTATGCATCCAACACGGACATGAACAGTAATACGCAGCTCAATTTATGGCCAAATGTTTGTGTGAGGCTGCCAACTGACCGGTGTTGTTTATTGGATGACTGTCAGTTGGTATTTTTATCTACCTTTGGTATTGTGATCATTTTAGACTTTACTACTTGGAAATCTTGATCTTTATGTGACTTACAATGCGCCATGTGAGCATCTGGTTCCAGAAAGAAGCGCCTTCTTCGAGAGAGAAAAGCACGCCACCTGTTGTCCCAAGAAAGAAAATCTCAGTGATTTTGACATATTGCAATTTTGTGGTGATCGGACTGCAAAAGAGTTGCTGCGAAGCATTTCCATTTAAAAAGAGAGTCTTTTGGCCACAAAAAGTCAAGTTCAGGGAGCCACCAAAGATGAGTCACCACAACACGGTTTCTCACGCTTCTCATATCAGTGCCAGCAGTTGTGCGTACTTAAAACCGCTGCTCATCTTTCACAAATGTCAGCATTACTTCTTAATAGGCACACGCCTTTCCTTTGAACCTTCTACCACGCTTGATCAGGATGAACTGCGGCTCTACTGGTTCCCACTAAATGCCTCTGAGACCTGAGGCTACTTCCTGATTGCCCAACTCCACTTCGATAAGCTTGTTGATTTTACCAACTGGTGCTCCGAACGCAGCTGAGACTCCAGCAGCGGCTCCGGCGGAAACAAAGTCTCGTTTTTCGGTGTCTCTGCGGAAGTATTCAAAGATCTGCAAACAGGCAGCAACATATTTTCAACACGCGCTGTCATTAAAACAAAAAGCACAGTATGGCGTTACAACAACACACGTGCATCCATGGCCGACACCAACCTTAAAGTCTCTTTTTAAAGATGTGCTCCTACCCTGGGAGACACCTGCAGCCACTACTGCACCAGAGTGGATCATAGGCCCTTCCTGTAGGATAGTGGGAAAACAGGGAGACAGAGCATCACAATGCAGTTGATTGGCCTATTTCTGAAAGCTATTGAATATTTCTTACCTTTCCAACAGCAAGTCCACCCACGACTGAGCAAATAACACCACACACTTTCACCACCAGAGTCTGACAAAGTACACACAACATGTATTATACAAGGTTGTTTTTTTTTTCTTTTCATGGGTTATCCCAAGTAAGTGTGCGTACCTTGAGTCGAACCACTCTCGGAACCTTGACCCCGTTCAGGTAACACTTAATTTGCGGAATACCACTTCCTGCTGCAATTGGCTTCATATAGTGGATGGAGGAAGCAATTAGATGAGTACCATTTCTTATCCGATTTTAAAACTGACTCTTACCTCAAAAAAGGCAACAATGATTGCGCCCACCACGACAAAGGCGGAGTTTAGGACAGCCCAAAGGATGAGAGAGAGCGACAGTCCGCCCACCTCTGTAAACCTGTCTATATCTGTGAAGGTCAACGGTCAAGGAAAAATGTGCTCAAGATGTGCCCATCATAATGTTTAACTATCGACTCTTCACCGCTGCTTTTATTGAAATGCATCTTCAAGGAAGTACCAGGATACTTTCTTTGACAACTTGGTATTTCATTCCAGCCAGCTGCTCCACCACAATGTCAATGAAACATGCGATGAGGCCCGTCAGAAAGCCAATCAGGCCGCAGATCACCCAGCGACTGATCTCTAAACAGCGAAAACCCTAAAGCAATGAGAAAAGACAATTCGTGTCAACTCACACCTCTTCCACCATAAATATGGAGACCCACGCACAAGCGCGCTGTCAGAATATATTTTATGATTGTGCGTGTGTGCGTGAGTCAAGCGGGGGTTTCCACCCCACTCACCAGGTAACTCATACGCCTCTCTTCCTCCAAAAACAGCTGGTTCTCGATGTTATCATAGTCAAGACTCTAAACACACCAAGAAATGTACCTTAGACTTTTAATATGCAATATGTCAGTAAGATTGTTTTGGTTATCATTCAAGGGTGATATTCTTATGCCCCCATCATAAAATGTAGACAGGGAAAATGAACATTTAACCTTACTAAAGGACAATTACATTCAAAAAGTAAATTTTGCTAACATCTGGATGATTGTTGCAGGAATCCAGCCCCGCCCCCTCCAAAATATATATATTACCTCATATTTGAGTGACAGCAGCTTCTCATTATGAGGGATTTCCTTTGGATGACCTCGATGGGACTCCTGCAAGTGGGAAACAGATTTACTCTCTCTAAATGTGTATTTCCTGTAGAATGTTGAAAATGTGACTTTGCACCTCACATATATCATCCCACATTGGAAATGACAGTATGCCATGACATAGCATACATTCGTACATAAGCACCGCTGGCTTGCAAACCCCGACCAGATTTAATTGCCCTCAACACGCAACCTAAATGGATGTTTAACATTGCTTGACGCCATAGAAAGAGAGACAGAGGGCCCTGAGAGCTCAACTTTTTAAACTCACATGACCAAAACCTGAAACCAGGTGAGCCGTGGCATTCATTTTCAGTCGGCAGCAAGTGGCAAAAATGTCTGCTTTATACATATTGCACAAATGCAATAAAAATCTGAATTCTGTGTTTAAACTAATAGGGGGTGCATAAACATTGTGTTGTTGAGAATTTTTTTGACTTGACTTCCCCTTTAAGAACATTCCAAGTGACACTTCACCTCATCTGATGTGATCTCCTCTAAATCCACATTGCTGAGTCTTCCTGTTTGAAAGACAGCGCCTCCTCCAGGCTATGGAGCATAAACATAAACAAGAAATACAATTGTTAATAAATGGTTTTTGAACATCATGACAACACACAACTACAGTCAATTATGGGGAATCATTACCATAATACAATTCATCAATCAATCAAACTTCTTGATATAGCAGGATTTATTTAGCTGCAGTAATTAAGCAGTCTAAATGACAGACGTAAGAATTAGCATGGAAAATATGTACCGAAAACACTAAGAGTTGAGTGTGCTTCCACCTTTAGTGAGGACAGAGTGACATGAATAGTTCTGGTGGAAGTACGCCTCATTTTCCAGTGCTGCTACGTAAACGGAACAGCTGACTAGAAGGAATGTAGCAGATGAACAGTGACTAGTGAATTTATTGTCAACAATTCTCAACTAATTTGATGAAAATTAATTGATTTTTAATAATCCTCTCACTTGCATGACTTAATGTTGACAGTAGAACAGACACATCAAGACAACTGGCTGCACTTTGGGAACAGACTTTAAGAGAATTAAATTACGCCAGTTTGTATGATGGAAGACAATGACAAATGGAAATATACGGAACTTTGCAAATTGGTTAAGGTTTTCGTTGATCATGGGGGTGATTGGAGGGAATGGTTAAGCACTACTTGGCTGCAACCGGCAGGCACATCTATGCTGTTGGCACACCACTGGCAAAAGCCCCACATTCAGACAAAAATTCCTTCATCCATCTTCTGTGAAGTCAGAAATTCTCCCATTAAAACCATTTATAGAATACAATCATCTATTTTCAGGCAAATTATCAAATGAAAAAAAAGTATTACATGTAATTTTGTGAATGTTTAAGGTCGTCATTATTACTTAGATTTAGGGCAGCGGTGTCCAACGTTTTTTGACTGCAATCTACTTTTCAAGCAACCAAGCCCGACGCGAGTGACTCGTTGCCACACGTGACGCATAACCCGGGGGCGCGCATACGCACGCATGCCATGATGAACAAGAGTCACAACGTACCTAACATGAATGAAACAGAAAAATAGATACGAGTTTGTAAAAAGGAAATCCCTGCCTGCCTTAGTGACCTGACGGGGATGCACTTTTCCAGTGTGTTAAATGCCCAAATATTACTATCGTAGCTCACATGTACCGTTTTAAAACGCAAAGAAAAACAAAAAATATATTTGTTTACATTGGTCTTCTGGCATCACGCCATACTGTGATTGTTTGGCATTTAATAATAATATTTAGACCTACAAACAGCATGTAACGGGATGATGAACAATTTGTTTGCAAAAAATACACGTTGGCTACTATGCTATGTCGTTGCAAATACACGGTGCTAATGTGTAGCATTAAGTATTTTACGATAGATCATTGCGACAATACTGTACACGCATTTAGAAGCCTCATCAACTGTTAGCTTAGCATGATAGCTGTGTGGCACGGACCTCCCCGTCGTGTTGACGTTTCTCGGAGCCGTTTATCAGCGGCGTTGCTTCGCCAGCGGCACTGGACTCGTCTGCTCGGCTCGACCACGACACTTTCTTCGTGATGTTAGCCATGGCGGCCCCCCGGTACCTTCGAGGGTTGCAGTGTTATTTCATGAATTGTAATAAACGGTTACATAGAGCCATGTTCCTCTCATTTCCCCATGACCGTCATTCCTGTGACTCGTGACGCTTTAGTAATGCTGCGTTCGAGGAACAGAGTAAATCGGATTTTTCCAAACTCCGACCAGGATGAGTGCACTGGCGCACCCGTTTTAACTGGGAGGTAGAAGTTGCCAAGTTAGAATCGCTGCACTGTAAGGTCAACGCGCAAACCAGTCGACCACCAGGCCGCCCTACACAGGGTCTCCTTGATTTACATTAATAAAATGAATTATGAAGATTTGCTGGAGGGCAAAATGTGTTGTGGTGAGCCAGAACAACAAACAATTGACCAGAATCAGAAATATTTATTGTTTACATTCGCATTGAGGTCGAAACTGGGACAATTCGAGTGCGATTATCTGATTTCCCACTTTCTACGAATGCAACATAACGGCCGCTTGACGGATCAAAAATGTCCGCTAGTCGCAATGGATTATGGATCTTGACGTTTTTAACGATCAAGCCTACATAAGACGATACAGTACTTTTGTATATGTATAAGGTTATACATAACATTTAAAAACACATTACTTCTGGATGGTAGAAATAAAACAAGTAAAAACATGAGGTATGAATAATTTAATAAAGATCCGTTTTAATGTACTTTATATTGCACTTAGTTTTAATGTTCCCATATTTCACTGGACATACATAAACCATGTACTTCCCAACAGTAATGAGAATCGTTTTTAAGCAATTGACAGCAAAGCCATTCATTCTTTATTGCACTTGACCTCACTGCGTCACAAGTGAGCTGAAGCCTTTCCCAGCTAAATTTGTACAAGGAAAATGGGTGTACACTGTCGCCAGGCAATCGCATCTCACATAAACAGCGATTCACACCAACATATGAGCAATTTAACCTTGCCTGCATGTTTTGGGAATATGGAAGGAAGAACGACAATCCATGCAACCACAGTGAGGGCATGGAACTCTTCAGAGAAAGGCCAAGATTTGAACAAGGGAAATTTGGAATGTGGGGCTCACTTGCTAACCACGAGTGGCACTATAAATCTATAGTTTTCTTATTAAACTTTTATTTCTTGACTGGGCATGAGAGCTTTCAACATCATCGACTCTTCTGTGACCATCCCAGTCCTCAGTGCTCGCTACATTTCTTTCCAATTCTCCCCAAAATCCTGTTCATTTTACTTATTTGTTTTCATTGTTCGGTTGTTTTTAAACTGTATTTTCCCCTTTAATTTGCTGGATTTTTAATGTTCTTTCAGTTGACCTCTTTAAGTAATACCCGTGTGTTCTTAGTGTAGCTCCACAGATATTCTAGTGCTCCCCTGCGAGTGTATTTTTGTTTTAGTTTATGATCTGTTTAACTGAGTAGTTAGTTTCAATACTTTTTTAAAAATCTTCTTCTAATTACCTCACTACGCTTCCAGACTGCATGTGAGTTATTTTCCATCGTATGTGTTCGTGAGAGCTGATCGTGAGGGTGTATGTGTATGTGGAAGTGGTAAATGTGAATTTGTGAGCAAAGCAACTGTACTTTTTGTCTCCTGACTCAATCTGGGGATTTAACTGCTTTCAATTTCAATTTGAGTGGCTTCATTCAGGCTGTTATGTTGAGCAAATCTCATCTACAAATTGTGTGTGTGTGTGTGTGGGGGGGTCATTGCAAAATAACACAGAAATGTGTTTTCAAACGGATTAATTGAAGACTCTAAATTGCACATAGATGATTGTTGTTTGTCTAGAATTGCTCATTGATAAGATGGCGAGCAGTCAGTGTAGCCTACCTCTAGTCCCAGTCAGCTGGTGTTATTCCCAGCTCACCCGTGACCTTATTTAGGACAAGCTCTGCAAGAAATAAATAAATCATGGATATATCAAGCAACAGAAATGATTAATCAAGAAAAAAGAAAAACTTAATTATGAAAAGATTATAACTTGACCCGTGGTCTAGGAGGCTCACACGGAGTCATTGTTTGATGACTGAATAATTGTCAGCAGAAATATTCCAATTGGTTGTCATTTCCAAAAGTCCAGTGGTGACATACTTCCCACTTTCACTTTCATGCTGGCCACTTCACTTGCAAGCACTGTGTTAATTTCTTCTCAGAGGACATTCCCGCACTGGACATATCTCACAGGTTCCTTTTTTTGGTAAATTTGACGGATTTAAACAGCAACAACAAAATAACTTTACGTTGGCCTCATTTGTGATCTTTCATAAAAGGCTATACTGCTGTTGTGCAGTCCTCCTGTGCTGACATGGATGAAGAAAAATCTCTACTGAATCCAAGAGAGCCATCACCAGAAGCCACGGTAAGAGATAAAAAACTCACCTGAACAACAAAAACAGATACCTTTATGGAGTACATTTGAAGACTTTTGAACTTTAGACTCATTTTCATCACTGGCAATATAACTAAACCAAGTTTAAATGGACCCGCTACATGTGCGTGTTGCGTTTGTGACAGAATTTGGGTGTTGGGTTTGGCTGCCAAAGCGGTCTTAACTTTGGGGGCAGTCCAACCCAACTGAAATGCGTACGCCATCATCGAGCATGCTCGCAACCTATGAGAAGTCATGATGTTAATATGGAAACATTTTATGGCTGAGTGGATTGGAATGCTAAAACTGCCAACAGCTATAAAAATCTAACGTCGTCAGTGTTTTAATTCATCCTCTTCTCTCCATTCCAGTTCAACAAATCCAAACTGTTCCTGGCTGTTTTTGCAGCCGTCTTGGGGAACTTCAATTTCGGCTATTCCCTGGTCTATCCGTCTCCCGTCCTGCCTGTGCTCCAGGGTCCTGATGCGGACCCCCGGCTGAGGATGGACACCTCCCAGGCCGCCTTGTTCGGCTCAATCTACATGCTGGGTGTGGCCTGCGGCGGGCTCGGGGCCATGCTGCTTAATGACTTGATTGGCAGAAAGCTGAGCATTATGGTGTCCGCCATCCCTTCTGCTATTGGGTCAGATATGAAACTATATTTGAAAGAACTGTAGATGTTATTGCATAGTCCATTATAGCCCATGCACACTTGAGTCAGGGCTATTGTGACTTCATTCTTAACGTGCGTTTCAGGTACCTGTTGCTGGGAGGGGCTACGGAATTATGGATGCTCCACTTGGGCCGCTTCCTCACTGGTGTCGCCGGGGGGGTGACAGCGGCGTCCATTCCTGTAGGTTGCGTGGGTTTTCTCCGGGTACTCCGGTTTCCTCCCACATTCCCAAATGATGCATGGCAGTTTAATGGAACACTCCAAATTGTCCCGAGGTGTGATTGTGAGCGCGAATGGTTGTTTGTCTATGTGTGCCCTCTGATTGGCTGGTAAACGGTTGAGGGTGTACCCCGCCTACGACCCGAAGACACCAGGGATAGGCTCCAGCATGCCCTGCGGCCCCCCGTGACGATAAACGGATTAGGAAATGGATGAATATTATTATTATCATCTGATCGTATGCATTGTGACTTGGTGAATTTCCATCACAGTAAATTTTACATTTAGTGTGTGTTTTGTTTTGTTTCAGGTTTATATTTCAGAGATCTCCCATAAATCACTCAGAGGAGCACTGGGAACCTGCCCTCAGATTACTGCTGTGTTCGGAGCGCTGGCACTCTATGCTTTGGGTAAAAGTTTGCATCAAATCTATTTATAATACGCCCAAAATGCACTAGAAGCTTTACAGGTCAATTTAATTTGACCTTCTACAAAGTATGGAATACAAACTGTTCAATGTCTCAATGCTTTTTGCACAATTTTCTGTTCTCTAACAAGGAGCCTAACTTTATGTGAGTAGTATATGTACTATTCTGGGTGTTATGTGATGTACAGGGCTGGTGTTACCATGGCGGTGGCTTGCGGTGGCAGGAGGTGTGCCAGCATTGCTGATGGTACTGCTCCTCGTCTTCATGCCTTACTCCCCCAGAAGGCTCCTCTCTCTGGACAGAGCAGAGCAGGCCGAGCGCGCCCTTCACTGGCTGAGGGGAGGTGACTATGACATACAAAGCGAGCTGGACGCCATCAAGGTGAGACGTACAATAACAATGATGAAATGGACCAGAAGGTCAAACATATACAGCAGGGAGTGCTGTAATCAACTGTTAATAACATATAAAGAAGTTACAGGACAAAGTTGGCACTTAAACTTGGGATAAAGTTGGACTGGCTCACAGTGCATGATAACAATCCCCTGCTCACATGCAGGTTTGCCCCCTAGAGGCCGTGAGCAGAATGGCAATAAGGGACAACTGCCATTCTATCTACTGTCGAGTCTCAGCATTCAAGAACCTCTAACTAGGTATATTGGCATGTGTACTTCAATGCAGCACAGCATCCGTCTGCAGAGTCGCGTCACCTGGTCCGAGCTGGCTAAGCCGGTCTACTACCGGCCAATTCTCATCTCCGTGGGCATGCGTTTTCTGCAGCAGCTGACCGGCATCAGCCCCATTCTTGTCTACTTGGAGCCCATCTTTTCGCAGAGCAACGTCTCGCTGGAGCCCAGGTGTGATATGCAACCCGACTCGTTCATTCTGCGCATGACAGCTCATTATCTTTAATTAATGAGCATTTTTTGCATACTGTCGTTCAGTCACTACCTGTCCCTGTTCGCTGTGTCAGGTACGATGCTGCGATTGTGGGGTTGGTTCGCCTTGTTTCTGTCAGCTTGGCAGCGGTTTTGATGGACAAAGCGGGGCGCAAAGCTCTGCTGTACACCTCCAGCTTTCTGATGTTCCTGGCCACACTTACTCTGACCGTGACTTCACGCACCACACCTTACCAACCAAGGCCCGCCCCTCAGAACTTCACCGCAAGTATGGAGCACAACCTTCACTATGACGTCACTTGGCTGGCAAGCAATCAAACACCCGCAGGACCCATTCCAATTATCAGCGTTGTGATATTTATATTTGGTGAGTGATATACTACCTGATTGTATGGCTTCAATGTGACAACAACAGCAACTATCCATCACTGCACGTTGTATAACTATGAAGGAAAATAATTCCAGTGGAAAATCCTCTCCCTTGTGCACCTCTTGCCTGGGATTTGAGAGAACTTTTGTGGGCCGGGCAATTATT